CCACTCAGTACCCACCCGATCCGAGTACCTGAGTTACCTGTCCCACTCAGTACCCACCCGATCCGAGTACCTGAGTTCCCTATCCCACTCAGTACCCACCCGATCCGAGTACCTGAGTTACCTATCCCACTCAGTACCCACCCGATCCGAGTACCTGAGTTCCCTATCCCACTCAGTACCCACCCGATCCGAGTACCTGAGTTACCTATCCCACTCAGTACCCACCCGATCCGAGTACCTGAGTTACCTATCCCACTCAGTACCCACCCGATCCGAGTACCTGAGTTACCTGTCCCACTCAGTACCCACCCAATCCGAGTATCTGAGTTATCTATTCCACTCAGTACCCACCCGATCCGAGTATCTGAGTTATCTATTCCACTCAGTACCCACCCCGATAATTTAAACATTCGAAATGAACTTATAGCATACAGAATAGCATTTATGACACCCCCTGTGGGATTAAAAGGCCCTTCTATGAGAAGATGATTGGTAGGTTTGGTAAGATGATGAGTGAGAGAGTGAGTGAGTTTGGTTTTACGCCACTTTTAGCAATATTCCAGCAATATCACGGCGGGGGACACCAGAAATGTACACATATTGTACCCAGGCAAGATGATGAATGATATTTGGCTGGATGAAGTATTTTGGAAGAAAATTACTTTACTTATTGTTGAGTACTACCGGGTACATGCCTAGATGATGGCTAGAGGACAGGCTGTGTGTCAACAGGTGCAGGGTTTTACGTGACACACAAATGTATAGAATGGACGCAGAAACAAATATATATTATGTCCCGAGGGACGCACAATTAGATTCACTGAAAAAAAATTCTTGACAAGAAATATATGATCCCTGTAATTAATGTAATTATTAAATTAGTACAGTACACCAGACCATTTCATTTCTTTACAGGACCCTCATTTTTCCTGTGGGGACCCATGAAATTAGTAATTGGAGGTCCTCTGGATCCCCAGTTTTGTAGGTCAAGATAAAACCTAAGATTGTAGGTCAAGATAAGGTACCTATTTAAATTCAAGCAAGGAGTAGTTGGTTAGTTAGATTTGCCTACAAAATCATTAATAGTCGTATGTTAGCAGTGTATTTACTTCAGTGAAATGGATCACACTTGATGTCTGCAGAAGCTGGTAACAGTTTCAGAGCTCTGTCTCTTACAACAATTGTTTACAGAACTTGTATCCTGAAACTTATGTGACATCAAAGTTGTGTCCAAAGTCTGGTGATCACCAATACGTTGTTTCTTAACACTACGGACAAGGAAGATGTGATGCAGTGTCAGTGGCGGACTACTGGTATCACTCAGGACATCCCTTACGCTATTCTTCCTGTAGGGATGCTGAGGAGATAATTAGCGGAAATAACGCAAGAGAAAGACAACTATTGACGTCGCTCGTCAATCACGGATCCAGTTCGCAGGAAGGAATTTGTGAGAGGATGTGACTACTTGTTATGTGTTACACTCGTACAGAATTAGATGATGTAGTCAGTTTTCTGTTCTCATCTGTCTTCTTTCAATATGAATCTTAGGATGCAATTAGGAATGATTTACATTTGAATTAGAATTTGGTCATCTTATTTGTAATTGTCTTGATCTGAATATGATGGGGAACGATTACCAACATGATAATACTGGGTCAACTTTATTACTGTTGGCATAGAGGTCGATGCGTTTTCCTTATTAGGCCACATCACCCTGGGTTTGATTCTGCAGTGTCCATAATTTGTGAAGTTAATGCTTGCTGTTCCAGGTTGATGGGTAGCCTAGTAGGTAATGCAGTTGCTCGGTATGCTGAAGACCTGGGTTCAATGCACAACATGGGTACAATGTGTGAAGCTCATCATGATATTACTGGAACATTGGGGGCGGTTGGGTAGCATAGTGGTTAAAGCGTTTGCTCGTCATGCCGAAGACCCGGGTTCGATTCCCGTCATGGGTACAATGTGTGAAGCCCATTTCTGGTGTACCCCGCCATGATATTGCTGGAATGTTGCTAAAAGTGGCGTAAAACCATACTCACTCACTCACTCACTCACTCACTCACTCACTCACTCACTTGAACATTGCTGAAACTAGTGTAAAAACAAACTCACTCATGTCTTGGTATGCTTTGGTAAGATATTGCTGCAATGTTGCTAGACATACCCTTAGTCTCTGAACATATATTACTGTGAAAGAAACAAACAAATACATTTGAATTGAAAAGGAGCCCTGGTGAGATGGTATTCTTGGTGGTTAAGAAATATATGGTGTTCCTCTCTCATCACTGTTGTTTTCAATAGAAAAAAAGAGTCCTACTTTCCTCCTTACTTTAAAAAAAATAGAAACTTTTAGATTTGCAACCTAACCATTCGTCACCTCCTGACCCTTTCCCTAACCCTCATGAAGACTCCTCCCCCTATTAATGAATGTTATGTGTGAAATATGACAAAGCAATCAGAATGCGCATATGACTCCAAGTACTTCAATAGCATCTGGAATATATATGATATATTAGGGAAATATTCAATTATATTAGCTATGTCCGTTTACTCTCAGATGGAACTCAGTCGAAAAATGGCCATGAGAGGGGCGTGAGTCGTTATTCGGCTTCTCCCGGAATAACACGAGTTGGTCACGAATGCCTAACCCTTCTCTCTCAATCACTAATTTACTCAATGTAGAGTTGTGTCCCTTGGTCATGCGCATGCATGTGATAAAAAGGAACAATCTGCTCCACGTCACACAATCTGGGGACACCGTCATCATATCACTAAAATACTGTTCAAAGCCTAAATACTCTTCACCCCTTTCGTAGTGATGTGTATTGGCCCGACTTTAATATTGATATTTATCGCAATAATGATGCTCGTATGGCGATACATACCACTATATATTACATTCGTTCTTTCATCTACCATTTGTTAAGGAACTTGCACTAGATTGTATTTTCAGTGACTTTCAGTGTCTTTAAATTTGTGATCCATCCCCTCCCTAATTGTTTCACAATAGTTGTTAATTTCCGAATTCCATAAATTCAATTCAACTTGTCACTTATGTAAACTTTGCCAGCAAGATGAAAATATACACGATTTTGAAAAACGCTGGTAGGCTGGTTTTGAACTGTTCTATTTCTCGGGTATCTCAAAACTGAAGCCTACAAAAAGGTACAAAGCATAAATCATCTTTGTTGTCTTGCTGGATGAATGGTATAATGGTATTGTGAAATAATTGTCAGATCCATCTCACAATTTGATTAAACTAACTGTCTACAACCCCATGCTTAATGTCTGCAGGGGTGTCTGACTGTAGTCATTAATAAACCGCTTCAGTATGCCATACATATGGCTCAGTTTAAATTTGTTTTATTTTGGGTGTTGCTTCAAATAGCAGACAGTGATTGGCCACAGATGTAGATTTCAAATTGTAGAAAGGAAGTTAAATACTGCCCACTAGTCACATAGAACTAGTTTTTTAATCATGTGATCAGTATGAGGTTATATTGTAGGTGAGGGTGCTTTGTATTGTGGTAAAAGTGCTATTATTGAACAGCGTATAAATATCTTTTCTCGTTTATTTTTGGTTTTTTTTATTGTTTATAAAAAAAAGGACCTATTACATAAAACTGGTGTCCACCAAGGAAAGCCTGTGACATGGAAACAATATTTCACAAGTAATCAATACATCTTAGATTTTGTACAGAAAGTAACATAATTCTAACATACTCACACATTCACTCCAGTAATACAAATATACTGCATATAGCACGTGTGCATAAACTATTAAAGCTTATATGTTATATTGCAGAGTAGGAAGGTACTTGGTCTCAAACATTAAAGTCTATCATAGAATCTTTTTGATTAACATATAGCCTCTCCAAATTCACTTATTAATGTGCTCAAATTAATAGAACTATGCTGGTTCCTTCAGCTCATAACTGGGACACTAATACAACATGTCACTTTCAGTCAAAGTTCATGGTTGATACAAGGTGATCCACTCATTGATACGGACCGTGAAGATACGGGGTAGAATAGGTCTTCAGCAACCCATGCTTGCCGTAAAAGGTGACTATGCTTGTCGTAAGAGGCGACTAACGGGATCGGGTGGTCCGGCTTGCTGACTTGGTTGATGCATTGCATTGATCCCAATTGCATGGATCGATGCTCATGTTGTCAGTCACTGGATTGTCAGGTCCACTTACAGACCACCGTCATACAGCTGGAATATTGCTGAGTGCGGCGTTAAACAACAAACAAACTCATTGATACAAGGTGATCCACTTATTGTTACAAGGTGATCCACTCATTGTTACAAGGTGATCCACTCATTACAAGGTAAATCTACTCATTGTTATAAGGTGATCCACTCATTGTTACAAGGTGATCCACTCATTGTTACAAGGTGATCCACTCATTGATACAAGGTGATCCACTCATTACAAGGTGATCCACTCATTACAAGGTAAATCCACTCATTGTTACAAGGTGATCCACTCATTGTTACAAGGTGATCCACTCATTGTTACAAGGTGATCCACTCATTACAAGGTGATCCACTCATTACAAGGTGATCCACTCATTGTTACAAGGTGATCCACTCATTACAAGGTGATCCACTCATTACAAGGTGATCCACTCATTACAAGGTGATCCACTCATTGTTACAAGGTGATCCACTCATTGTTACAAGGTGATCCACTCATTACAAGGTGATCCACTCATTACAAGGTAAATCCACTCATTGTTACAAGGTGATCCACTCATTGTTACAAGGTGATCCACTCATTGTTACAAGGTGATCCACTCATTACAAGGTGATCCACTCATTACAAGGTGATCCACTCATTACAAGGTAAATCCACTCATTGATACAAGGTGATCCACTCATTGTTAGGGGGTGATCCACTCATTGATACAAGGTGATCCACTCATTGTTACAAGGTGAACTGATTCCTCCACTGCAAATATCACAGCATTAATGGATTGTTTTGGGTTTACAGGTGACAGTGGAAGCAACGATGGAGCATCCATTTTTTGTGTTTGGACGAGGCTGGTCTTCGTGCTCGGCAGAAAGGACTCTCCACCGATATGGACTTGAGTGTCACAAATTGTCCGTGGGAGATGTATGTATATCCCTCACTCACAAGGATGTACCCCTCAAGGCTGCAGAAATCAGCCAGCAACAGAGTCAAAGTGAGGCTCGTGAAAGGGAGTCGCCACCAGAAGAGAAAGCACATCAGGGTCAAGGTCACCAAGGCCATACAGTGACCTTTTCAGACACTGTAACAACCACTCATTTACATAGTTCAAGGTCGCCTTCTCACCAGGCGACCTGCCAATCATCAGAATCAGAAGGTGACTCCCATCTCCCCCGAAAACGCCGCTGGTCTGCTCCAGATCAGGTTAGTGTTGACTCTGAATCGGAACAGGAAAGGTCCGAGGACACAAAACCCGAATCCATTGATCAGTGACTTAAATGAATGTTTGGTGTTTACATTATTCATACAGCCATAATCGTGTACAAATCCCTCCTTTGGTAGGCTTGATGGTAGAATCACCAGAGATACTTGTACGTTTGCTGTTGTCAACGGTAACACAGCCCACCACTACTAGTTTCCGTGGAGATGCGGTATCAGGGACACTCCCCTCCAAGCCCGGAGTGGCTGCCAGGGTGTGAACACACAACAGTAGTAGAGTGCCTTTCTTCAACAGAAGGATATGAATGACACCTGATGATCCTGTGGCAGTTATGCATTGTTTGTTATATCATTTTCAACAATAAGTGGGACAGTTAGGAACGAAGCATATGCCCTGGTAAAAGTCCCTGGTCGATTAGCGCCATAAACCTTATTTGTGAGTTTCAGTTGTAAACTTCTGCGACCAGAAGCTGACTCTCTGTGATATAAGTGTTAAATCTCAACTCACTCACTTGCAACTAAAAATCAATAATTTTTTAGGAATTGGTTTAATATGGCCTTTAACAGAACGTTTGGCAGGTGGGTTTTTATCAATATTGATTATATTTTTAAATTAATTTTTAAAGGTCATGAAAATTGTTAAGAGCCTGCAAAAAAAAATCTGTGAAAATTACACCCACCTGATATTAGTTTGTTATATTTCTGCCGTGAAATTGAATTTTGATCTGAGCCTTCCTTCCATGCCTGTCTTTACCAGTAGAGTGGTGTGTTAGAACATAGAACACACCTTTACCCAGGAATGTACTTGTTACACTTATTTTTGAAATGATATAATCCTGTTCAGTTCAAAAGTTAAGGGAAAGCTGTCGTCTTCTTTTTGGCTAGAATTGTTGCTTGAATTTTGAAAGCAGATGTTGAGATGTTATTTTTGTCTATAAGAGCATGGAAATTGCTAACCAGATATATTCTTGGTAAATGCATTCCCTTAATTTTTGCACATTGTGTTGTTGAATGCCTTCTCAATCTCACAGCAGCTCGTGTCCCAGGGGAGAGAACTCTCGTATGTTTTGTGATATTTACCATTGAATCTTTAAACGTTGACATATCCACGTGTTAATATGGTATCAAAGAATATTTTATGATCATTTTCATCCAGTTTTAGACTATTTTCACTGTTCAATAAACTGTCTAACTGCAAAAACTTTTGAATATATATATACATATATATATATTATACATATATATTTGCAACCTGAAAATCTGAATAGGAAATTGGTATTTTGATGATAGGCATATATTTATGCTTTTGCAGTGCTTTGTGAATGAAATGAATGCTTTTGCTATCTCGGTGTAATAAAGTATGTTAAAGTTTGTTTTAAAAAAAAATATTTATGATGAATGTTTAACATAAAATTGAGAAAAAAACAAGTGATTGAAGTCTTCAGTGTATTAGGAACTGTTGGTAATTTCTTTTGTGAAAACAAAACGCTTACTCCATGATCTTGTTTTTGTTTAGTCTCACATTCTTGTCTCAATACTTGTAAATATTCAAGAGAAACACAAACTATTAATGCTGATGTTTTTCAAGGCCTATATTTTTAGATTCTGAGTATTGTAGTCAACTTGTTTAACACCTAAAGTTTCAGGGAATAGTTATTTTTAGTGTTTGAAATAGCTCCTATTTCATTACGTTATGAGTTTAATAATACATAGACATTGAATCACAAACTTCCTTTAATACATGTTTGACAATTTTGAAACAAAATTAGAAATTTCAATAAATGAATTCAAATACCGGTACAGTAATGGCCGAATATTTCAATGTCAAAAGTTCTTTCTTTAATCTGGTCGATGCTTGTGAAGTTAAATATGGTTACACAAAATAAGATTGCAATATGATGATTCCGCCAATAATTTGTTAATGCTGTAGAATAGATGCATTTTCCACTGCCTGTTAAAAGCACAATAGTTAAAGGGAGAAAACTCTTTTTCTATCCCCGAAAACCAATGAATATTCTGTAGGCCTGCCTTTTTTTCTCATTGCAAGTTTCTGCAACATTCCCCTGCACCATTTAATCAAGTTTCTCATTCTTCAAATATTAGCCTTCTGTATTTGCCTACCAAGCATACATTACACAAACATGACACTAATGTTGGTACTGTTCTCCATGCTTTGATGTGTATAGTTACCACACTTTTTTCTCAAGGATTTCAAAGACATGTTATATGATACCTCTGTAATAAATATATGAGTTTCATAGACACGATCTATCATAAGATAATTGGCAGGCACACCTAGTCTAAGATTGTCCTTGTGGCATCCAAAGTGCCCGCCCACGACATCCGCTTGCCACTCCTTGCTCAAAAGGGTATTACTTCATGCAAATCTGTAAGAAACCTTCCAGCTCCCTTTCACTGCATTTTGTTTATCCAGGAGAGTGTATTTCTTGTTTCGTATGATAGCATGGACCCAAAATAATTTGATGTTTTAAGGATTCTGAAAGATCTGTTGTATTAAATGAAGACTGGTGATAAATGTTATTTGAATGTAAATTCCTTTCAAACTTGCACACACCATCACAAACCTGATCCCACGCTACAGCATATAAACACCCACTCTTAACCCTGAATAACATAGAGAAATAAACCCCTCTTGAATAAAATTCCAGATTTAATAAATAATGTTGGACAGACCCGTATCACATTCATTAATATTTACCACTTTATAAAAGGTTGAAAAAATCTTGCATTTCTATTTCTCTATATTTCCCTCATTGCGCTATGGCTGAAATAATGCCAATAAGACGTTAGATTTTAACTCACTATGTTTTCCAACATGGGCCTAAGACTAGCAGAGAGGTAAGTGACATTCAAAATTTTGTGGTATTTGTACATAGAAATTTTGTGCCAAGTTACTAATGTCAAGTACTGTTACGTTTGTCTGTTGGAGTTACCAAGTTCTGTTGCTAATTGTGTCTTTTGTCATATTTAAGTTCATATTGGGACAGGGAACTAGTGCTGCTGTTATGTTTGTGCCTGAAGATTTAGTGTGTAATACATCTACACTTTGTTAGATCCACTTGTCAATAACCTGTGTAGTTGATTGTTCTGTGTAGTTAATACTTTGGGGGACAGCATACTGTTATGTGTTACCCCAACTGTGTTATAGTCCTTTGTTTTGTACTGTTAGCAGTGAGAAAATGAAAACATGACCATCAACATGGTTGATTCTTCACAGGTTCTGCACACACTACGTTCCTCCATTGCCTGTGAATAAGTATGGCTGACTTAATGTGCAGTTGCTAAATTGAACCTGCGAATCGAGACATGGCCTGGTCCACCAAGAGGGAAACCAGTGTTTGCTCAAACCAATGGCAGCTCAGGGTATATCGCAAAAACGGCAAAATGTCTCTGGCAATATGTGCCATTGCCATCTACTCTATACATTTCTTCAATATCAGGCAATTGCAAATTTCATGCAAAAATCCCACCCTGAGTAAAGCTCATTTCGCTCCTTTGTAAATCCGCTTCATTTTATTAACTGCCTATCAGCATAGTGGCCATATGTATTCACAGTTGATTGAAGAACGTAGTGTATGCAATCCTGCTTAGTTTTGACAATTGAATATCAAGTATTCATTAATATGGTTTATACATTTCAATTTTTTTCAATGCCATCATAATTTCAGGGATAGCAGTTATTGTCAGCTCCTCACAGTGCCGTAAACTCTTCCTTCTTAACACCCTGTTATACCAAAGGGAAAGAGCAGTGCAGTGAGGAGTCTATTGTTTGGAAGGTATCACTGTTTTCAGTCAAGTTTGTTTCATATCAATTTCGATATCCATTTCTATTCTGAAATATAGCCACGAGGTGAACTTATATGTCATACTTTTTACAAAACTAAATTGTTACATTATCAAGCAATAACCTGTATATAACTGGAGATTGAATTCCATCTGCAAGTGATACCTTCTTGTGTGTGCAAATATATAGGTAAATGACACTCTCAGGTTCCTTCTTGATCATCCAGGCCCTGCATATTTTATTCAGCCGACTGACATGGATAGAATTAAAACTGTGCACTCACCCACTTACATCACTGGAAACATTACTGACGAAGGGAGCGTCTGCATTGAACCTCAATTTCTCCAACTCGGTTGTGTGACACACTGAATCAAATGAATCCCGCTATCGCAACAATTACACAATAATAGTTGTCATTTGTCATGTGTACATTTCATATTGTACCAATATACACCCTCAGAGCCGATTCCGTTTCTCACATTTGTCATGGGTCATTCTGAATGGACTATTTTTTGACCATTTATGTGACTCCAAGGTCACTGGGTGCAAGGTTAAGTTGAATAGTTAGTTAAATTGTATACATACTGTATTGGTTCTTAGTAGATATATGTATAGGCGCAATATATAATCCTCACATTTCATCCCAAGGAACATTTGATTTGGATGTGTCACAAATTGTTATGAATTTGCAAATAAGTTTTTGGGGTGCGAATTTGATGGTTTATTGCCAGGGGTTCCCTTTGCCGTTAAGTCATTCAACAATCATTTCATAAGTGCTTCGGTATTCATTTTGAACTGTTCGACTCAAAATGTTATATCACCGATATGTGATCACAAGATTCTGTTGTATATGTGTACAGGAATATTATGTATATGTGTAAAGTTGATGGACAGCCCGTGTGTACATATACACTCGTGTTTTGATAAATCTCAACTTGTCGTTTGCAATTGACCTCTCTCTGATTGACATCAACAGCCATTAACATCATGAGTGATTTCATAATCAGTTTTTGAAACAGTAATTGATGACTGATCGTTTTGAAATGGTCCTTTTTCATGATCCATTTTCAGCGATCAATTTTGTGAGGTTAGTTGAATAAAATCAATTTCAGGTAATCGGTTTCATGAGATTGATATAAAGTGATCAATTTCACATGATCAATAATTAATACGTCAATCAGGTGGCCATGCCTTTTTCTGTATTATGAGCAGACAGACTCAGTGATTACCGCTGTATATAGGATCGTATATATAAAGTATTATATATATAATGAGCTATTTTTTGTACATATTTGTTTATTTGCTATGAGCTCCAAAGAAGGCTTGGATCTGGGTAACTCTTGGATGGTGTTCTCACTTTCATGAGAGGCAGTCATGTCAACCCTGGCGTTGACTGTTTGCAAATTTGGACTTAAACTGGCTAGACTAATTCATGACATAGTGAAAAGGTTAATTCAAAAGACTCCACTGATCTAGAATATCTGGGATTAGGAGCATGGGATTTAAGAAAAGAAATAATAAATGTTTTTAAAAAACGGTAGGAAAAAAAAAATACCTCAGGTTTTACACAATAAAATAATTGTTTGCTGGACTTGCAGAATATCCTGAAAAAAATGTCTTCTTTCAAAGAATGTTCAGTTCCTTTCAGCGAAGTTATTTTTCTGTTTTGATCAGTGACAACAAAATATTTTCCCAGAATATTATATGGCAGCCCCTTTGTGTACAAGTAGTGGACCAGACATTATTCATGGAAAGAGTCCAACCCGTAAGTAATGAAATCCACTTCAAGAACAGGACTCACTGTGATGGTTCAAGAGTAATGGGTAACCCATTTAATGTTCTTTAATCAGACAGCATACCAGTTTAATTTCTCACCAGGTACAATGTTGCCAAACATCATGCATTCTCAGCTGTAATCGTATTGATTAAGGCCGAAACAGTTTTGGTTCTCTTTCCATCGTCAAACCTCACTTCTCAGATGTAAAAGTCAAGATTTTCAAACAAGGGAAGATAACTCTGAATACATTTCAGCAACTTGGCTACATGTATTCAAAAGTTGAATCAATGCATTGATTTGCTCAAACCTTAAACATAAGCATATTTTTGTGTTATTGTAAGTTGGGTCAGTTTAAGTCCAGATTTGACCCATGGTCAAATTGTTGCACAGAGAGGACCCATGTTGTATGTACCAGGAGTGTACCACTACACAACAGCGATGTGGTTCGACCAGAGCACTTCAGCAATAGTGGTGTGCAATGTTCATGGACTATGTGTATGTAAGGCATTGTGTTTGTCACTCTCATCTTAAGTTTTATCAAATATCTTCAGTACTAAAATGTTTGCACGGGATTTGTCTGTATTAGTGCCACCAAATTATTGCAAACGCATAAGTTTTGCTAATTAATCTGTGTACATTTCTGAAACATATATATATAAACAAATATTCGTAATAGCTATCAGTAACATGATAATAACAATCATATCCCATAGATTTTGAAACGATCTTAAAGATCCCATCTCTAAGTTATTTAATTTAAGTATTAGTTCAAATTCATTCTGTGTTAAAGTTAAATATTTTAGTTGACTTGTGTTATTAGGTGTTATGGAAATAATTTGAAGTGATTTCATTTAAAACATTGATATTTATGACAGAAGGACAAACTATTTGCACAAGATATGCTCAGGTAAATAAGAAAAGCAATGGTTGAAGTATCAGGAAGTAAGATTTCAGTTAGTGGCGGATGAAGAATGCTTATTTGGTGGGAAGATCATCTCCTAATGTTGAATATATTTACTGTTTGGTATGTGTATGGATATGTTGCTGTCGTTTTAAAATTGCTTTGTTTTAAATAATGGTCTAAGTTTAATTCTTAGAGATTTGACAAAACATATGGGATATTTTGTATCTGTCTACCTTTATCAATGTGATTTCTCATTGTATTTGATAATCACTGACAAGGAGAAAAAATATATTATGTTTTACTTGTTATTAAACATTGTTTGACACACAAGATAATGTTTCACTTGTTATTAAACTTTGTTCCGATAACAAAATAACATTTTTTTTGTTATTAAACATTGTTTAACAGACCAGTTATGGTATAACATGTTATTACAATAGCAAACAAAAAACCGTCTGACTTATTGAACAATGTTTGACAAACATAGTGAGGTTTGACTTGTTATTAAGCATTGTTTGTAAAGATATTTTTAAAAGTTGTTTGATGGGTGTTCTTTTGAGCAGTCATAAAATAATTGTAATTATCAAAACTTGAATGGCAATGAACGTGTTTGTAGTCATGTTTATAGTGAAATATATTGCTGTCGTTGAAATTGACAACTATTGTCTTCATTCAGTTGTTCTCTATACTGCGGGGACTGATGTAAGGACTTTTAATGAAACACTATTTTATGGTATAACGAACAAGGGTCTGTGTTGTCACAGTGTCCATTGTTTAGCATGCTAATTGTTATGGAGCTGTGTTTTGTCTGTTACTTGATTGGGATAAGTGATAAAGGGCGGAGTCAATTTCTTGGTCAAAGTCAGCTCCCAGTAACTTTTTAACATGAATAAAGTCTTTCGTTATGACGTTTTAATCTAGTTTTGTGTTGACTCTGTTTAGAGAAGATAGCTGTTATGTATGGCAGTGTAAAGTGTGTAGCTGACAAGTCAGGCGATGTGGGACAGTATGGTCCACCAGATCATGCATCCAAGTTCTGCTCCAGCCATCCAGTTACAGACTGACTGATCGCCCATTCAAGACCCATCCAAGTACTATCTGTGACAGCAGAGGGATTGTCCACCCAGGTGATCACCCATCCAAGTTCTACCCAGGTGATCACCCATCCAATTACAATCTGTGACAGCAGAGGGATTGTCCACCCAGGTGATCACCCATCCAGGTACTACCCGGGTGATCCCCCATCCAAGTTCTACCCAGGTGAACACCCCTCCAAGTACTACCCAGGTGATCAGCCATCCAAGTTCTACCCAGGTGAACACCCATCCAATTACAATCTGTGACAGCAGAGGGATTGTCCACCCAGGTGATCACCCATCCAGGTACTACCCAGGTGATCCCCCATCCAAGTTCTACCCAGGTGAACACCCCTCCAAGTACTACCCAGGTGATCAGCCATCCAAGTTCTACCCAGGTGAACACCTATCCAAGTAGTACCCAGGTGATCAGCCATCCAAGTTCTACCCAGGTGAACACCCATCCAGTACAACCCAGGTGATCACCCATCCAATTACAATCTGCGACAGCAGATGGATTGTCCACCCAGGTGATCACCCATCCAAGTTCTACCCAGGTGAACACCCATCCAAGTACTACCAAGGTGATCACCCATCCAATTACAATCTGTGACAGCAGAGGGATTGTCCACCCAGGTGATCACCCATCCAAGTACTACCCAGGTGATCACCCCTCCAGGTACTACCCAGGTGATTACCCATCCAAGTACTACCCAGGTGATCACCCATCCAATTACAATCTGTGACAGCAGAGGGATTGTCCACCCAGGTGATCACCCATCCAAGTACTACCCAGGTGATCACCCATCCAGGTACTACCCAGGTGATTACCCATCCAGTACTACCCAGGTGATCAGCCATCCAAGTTCTACCCAGTTGAACACCCATCCAAGTACTACCCAGGTGATCACCCATCCAATTACAATCTGTGACAGCTGAGGGATTGTCCACCCAGGTGATTAAACATCCAGGTATTATTCAGTGGATCACCCATCCAAGTACTACCCAGGTGATCACCCATCCAGGTACTACCCAGGTGATCACCCATCCAAGTTCTACCCAGGTGATCACCCATCCAATTACTATCTGTGACAGCAGAGGGATTGTCCACCCAGGTGATTAAACATCCAGGTATTACCCAGTGGATCACCCATCCAAGTACTACCCAGGTGATCCCCCATCCAGGTACTACCCAGGTGATCACCCATCCAAGTACTACCCAGGTGACTACCCATCCAAGTACTACCCAGGTGATCACCCATCCAAGTACTACCCAGGTGATCACCCATCCAAGTACTACCCAGGTGACTACCCATCCAAGTACTACCCAGGTGATCACCCATCCAAGTACTACCCAGGTGATCACCCATCCAGTACTACCCCGGTGACTACCCATCCAAGTACTACCCAGGTGATCACCCATCCAAGTACTACACAGGTGATCACCCATCCAAGTACCACCCAGGCGATCACCCATCCAAGTACTACCAAGGTGATCACCCATCCAGGTACTACCCAGGTGATCACCAATCCAAGTTCTACCCAGGTGATCACCCATCCAAGTACTACCCAGGTGATCACCAATCCAAGTTCTACCCAGGTGATCACCCATCCAAGTACTACCCAGGTGATTACCCATCCAAGTTCTACCCAGGTGATCACCCATCCAAGTATTATCTATACTCTCCTGGCAGCCCATGTACCTGACATATGTTAGCCAGCAACAGCTCTCCAGGAAAATACAACAATCAATGGTGGTCAGTGTATAGCACATGATGAAACAGATTATGTGTTTTAGTTCCAGTTAGATAGGTTTAAATATGAGATAATTTGTTTATGTTTAGGCTCTGTGCATCACATATTTATATAAAATGAATGTTAATATACATTACACAAGGGTATTTCACTGTAAGGAGCAGGAGTTGTAGAGAATACAGAAATCGGACGGAGACCAGCAAAATGTCTGTTTGCTTGTAAGTGAAAAAGGTTTTTTTCCAGTTGAACACAGCTGCCTACATGGAAAGTTATTGACCAATGATATTTGAGAAATTTACTTGTAATGTAAGGTAAATCTGTCTATATGCAGGACAAAGTCATATTTGGCTTTATTTCAAGAGTGAGTGAGTGTTGGTTACATCCAGCAATATAACAGCCTGTGATGTAATGGGGTCAGACACACCAGTGGTAAACAACAACACATTCCACAGCTTGTCCAAGTACTTGTCACACTGACCATCCAATCTACATCTTGTTTGGTTCTTTTTTGATCAGGGTGGGGTACTGAGGGCCCATTGTGCCTTTGACACTCTACTGCATTAACATGGAAACATTCGGTCTAACAGAGAAGACAAAACTTGACATGTCTCATAGCCAGATCCCTGCAGTGAGCCAACAAAGGGAGATAATCTGAGATGTCTGCAGTCACATCCTGAATGCTTTACTTCTGCTAACAGTACACATCATGAACTTGGAACATTGCAGACCCGTGGATTAAGCCAGAGACCCTGTACTGATATACATTCTCGGACACAGCTGATGGAAGAAGATTGTAGTACATTGTAAGTTTGGGTAAATAAAACTTTTAAATCGAAATTCCAAAGCAAATAAAACTAAAAAAATGGTTGCATCAAAATGATATTGCTACAGTACATAAACAATCTGTTTCCTTGGAATATTGATGTACCGTATTTGCTGTATTAAGTGCCCTGTACAAATAAGCACCCCTGGCTAGGCTGAACATTTACATATTTTACAGAAAAGACCATATTTTCTCACTTATATTACAGATTAGGTTACAGCAGGGGTTGACATAGATGTCCTCAAAGGCTGAAATTTGGCCCCAGTCTGCAGCAAATGTCAGTAAAAATTCCCTAATTGGAATTCAAAATGTCCCATTTCCTGTTATGGCTTTGTAGAGATAATTTGTACATCACCCATAAGAAGATCAATAAACTGGAAGAGGCATTGATGCATAGTTTTACATTATCACACTCAATGCAGTGTTAAAATACCCCCAAAGTTTGGAAAACAAAAGCTTTATAAAAAATCCCCAAATTACATTGAACTATTTTAATAATGAAGTCTCGTGCTATTTTTATAAATGGCAGGTATCCTGGATATGATTTGATGGTATCCACACCATTTCTGTAAAAGACCAATCTCATTAAAATCAGATCTTAGTTCTCGCTACCCCTAAACAAAGATCTGAGGACATCCCATTACGGGTCACGTCAGAACGACCTTTCATCCAACCAATCAGAGCGTCGCTTACCAGATCATGAAAGTGACAGTCGGAATGTGTTTTCATTATGCAACCTCGAAATATTTTACCGAGGGTATTCCGAATGAAAGTTACGGGTTTTATGATTATATATATATACAATCTAGACCAACTATAAGCTATTCCAGAATGACCTTTTGATCAGTTTAAAAAGAATTAATCGAGAATACGTCAAAATATGTTTCGAAAGTCGTCGCCAGTTTGAAACTAGTGTCGTAAAGCTCGAGAAAGCTGCCTTCTGATTGGCGAATGTCGATTTCTTGTCAGTCATTTCATTGATCGGTCAAAGTTCGCGAAAGGTCGTTCTGACCACAGGACCATGTAACTAATTATAACAATAAAAAAATTAAAATCATTGACGAGGCCTTTTTTATTTTTATTGCTATAAATAGTTACATGGTCCTGTGTTCTGACGTGACCAGTAAAGGGGTGTCCTCAGATCTTTGTTTAGCGGTAGCGAGAACTAAGATCTGATTTTCATGAGATTGGTAAAAGACATGAGCACTCTCACAGACTTCATCAGATACTTGAGACAGACCATTTTCCAGATATTGCATTTATATCTTGATAGTTGTGAGTTGTAAATTGTACTAAGGAAGAACTAAAGATTTCAGGTAGAATTATAAGTAATAAAATAAGTAAAGTATTTACTACTTTAATTGTTGAATTATTCATTAAGCTAGGGTGTCAACTCAACACTTCCTAGCAAGAAAAAATAGTTTCGTTTTAGAACTAGTTTTATTCTTCCAAAAACATAACTGACATTTGACCAACTATGTAGTAACTCTCCAAATAACAAAATCATATTAAATCTATCAATTCTTCATCATGAGGAACTAAAATATGTTATTGTTTGCAATCATTATCTGAGTGAATGTTGCGGCCAAAGGTTAAAAACAAACATGGTTGCTCCAAGAGTGACTGAAGGATTGCTTACACAACAGTTAGCCATTTGTCAGACAGACGGGTTTTACACCACTTTCAGCAATATGCATCACAATATCATCGTGGGATACACCAGAATTGAGCTTCATACATTGTACATGCAAACATTGTTGTGTCAGAGCTGAAGGAACCTGTTATTGCTCAATTACATATTTTTTTAGATAATAAATATAATGAACTGTATTCTGCGGACACTTGTCTGCAAGGAAATGGCACATTGTTTTACAGAACCCTCTCCACACGCAGACACATTCTTTTATGTTTATCGTCATCCATTCATCATATGCATGATCAGGGGGCAGGGGTGGCCCAGTCTTCTAAGGCGCCGCGATTCGCTGTGCAGAGTTGCGTCCCTTGGGCACGCCAGAAACCTATGATGGTGGGTTCGAATCCCGGTTCGCCCTGATTATGTTTCTAGGTTTGTCAGCACCATTCCCGTGCTGGTGGGTTTCACGGAAGTGGTAAACGTCTGAGACCTGCATCACTTCGGGCTTTCCTCCAACATTAAGCTGACACGCTGCGATATAACTGAAATACTGTTAAAAGTGGCGTTAAACCCAACTCACTCACTCACTCACACGCATGACCACTGAGCCTCACCTCCTGTATCACAAATGAGCTGTACTAATATTACTAAAATGACTGATATTACTTTTAGTTTAATGCTTATACATGTTGTATTGAATTTAGGATATTTATTTGGTTGTTTACACAATAATAATCACAAATCCACAGTAAATGTATGTCGCAGGTCCAAAGACGGTGATATTGTGAACTCTATTTGTACAGACTGTTCATCCGGAGAAGTAGAGAATGAATACCATGTCGTACTTATATGTGAAACGTATTCCAATTTAAGGTATAAATTTCTCCCCATTTTGCAAGTTTTGTTTAAAGACCGTCAGTTAATGATAAATCTGCTAAACTCTGAAAATCCGGATATGATCCATGGTGTTTCTGTATTCTTAAAACATGTCTTTATAATCAGGAATGTGTAACTTGATTTAAAATCTAATCATGTACATCACGTGACAAATGTTAATATCCAATCTGCATTGTACTATTGTCCTTGATGCCTAAATTACTGAATAAACTGTCTGTCTGAATCCCCAGTACCGTGTTTTCGTTTCTAAACACACATATATCCAAATGGATAGAATACTCTATCCAGTAATAAAATACTATCCTTGAAATATGAACCAAAGCTCCCAAACATCCAAAGATTTTTTCTTTCAGAATCACAGTTGAGCCCCTTAATGCCGAGCGCCAGACAGGGTAACAACAAGTACCATCTTTTCTTTTACCAAGAAACAACAAGGACCATCTTTTGGTATGACGCGGTCGGGGATCGAACCCCGGACCTTCCGCACTCCGGGCGGACGCTCTACCATTAGACCACGGAGGCGGTCGCTGAACAATAAAATAAGATAACTAACCCTGTGAATGAAAAAGCATTTAAATATGTATAAGAATTATACGTAACATGTAAAATACAAGAAATATGCTTGTCGTAAGAGGCGACTAACGGGATCGGGTGGTCAGGATCCCTGACTTGGGTGATGCATGTCATCGTATCAGTGCTCATGATATTGATCACTGGATTGTCTGGTCCAGACTCGATTATTTACAGACCAGCGTCATATAGCTGAGTGAGACAAGAAATATACAAAATATTATAATATAATAATATCGTTATAATCAATGGTTGCTCCTCAATCTTTTAGTTTATTCATTGTTTTTTTAAAGGGATTTTTATATACAATAGACACAAAATATACACAAACAAAGTTCGTTTAAAGCATATACGAAGTCAGTAAACCAGTAAACCATATGATCGTAACTCCCATAGGCTCACAATAGCCGTAGCGCAGTGCAAGTGGGGCCAGGTGTATGGACGAAGACTTTAAATCGTTTTCCGTTTAACTTACAGTTCATGTTTTTCGGTGAAAGGAAGTTCGTCTTTTGCACTATTTCAAAACCGGATGTTATGCAAACACGTGTAAACTGAAATTTAGACGTGTGTGTCTTAGTATCATACGAGTATTGCATCTGCTTTGAAGTCAAAGTTTAATTAAGGAGAAAGGAATATGTGTAGCGTTCAAGATGAGGATGGAGACATAGCTGTTCCAAGATCAGCCATTAGGTAAACTCGTGATCATGTGGTAATCGACTTCTTAACCGATTGTTGGAAATAGCAGACGAACATTTGGGTTATGGAGGACAACAAAGTAACACAGACTTTTTAGTGTTTAATGACATGGTGAATCAAGATACATTAAGAAACATTTTCAAGATTATTGTACGAGTCAAAGCAACATTTTTCTACATAAAAATATGCATATCCTAATGCTTGATCACAGCAGAGACCATTAAATAATTTACTTTATGGTCTCTGGTCACAAGTTCGTTGTATCAACGATATTTACGTTGCATGGCATCATTCTTTATTTCCAGTGCTGACCGAGTCTGCATGAAGTGTAAGGACACTAAAGCAGTGGTTGTCACAAGGGTGAATGATGCTCTCTGTAGGTAAGAGCAAATAAGATGGAAATTCCTGCTAAGCACAAAGCTTTGAGAGTAAACATGGTAAACATTGACATTCTTTGTAGACTGAATGACTAAAGTTATACCATGTGTAACCATTGTCGTGATTGCTGAACTAATTGGTATTAACTCATATTAATCAAGGACCATCTCAGGCTTGTTAAAATGCATGTCTTGTTTCTCAAGGCCAGTCACTAAGGTAATTGCCTGGCCCAAATATTTTAATATAGTTTTTAAAATGTTTAAGCTCTGTTATGAAACAGAAAATACAATTCAAATTCAATCATTTCACACATGCAATAACTTTCAGTTACACAGGAGTATCTAGAAGTTATGTTTGTTTCTGCTGCACTCAGCAACATTCGTGGCAATTCTGTAAATAATGGAGTGTGGACAAGACAGTCCAGTGATAGATATTATGAACAATAATCCCCTGATCTATGCTGTAGGAGTACTAACAGCAAAGTCACCGGGCCTGACCATCCAATCCAAACTTTAAGCCATCTCTTAAGACAAGCACGGGATGTTTGTCTTTTTTTGTGTGTTTTTTTAATTAATATTTTTTATTCCAAACATCCCTGTTACAAGGGAGGGCTATGGCAAGCATAGGTTGCTATGGATCACATTCTTACCCAGAATCCCCATGGGGACATGGCTATGAGAGGCCATGTTGTTACAATAAAGTTGTAACCTGGTAATGAAAAAAAATTAATTGAAATTACATCCAAGACTATTATTTTACTGGCTGTAACAGTGTTTTTAACATGTTTTCTCTGATGTTGGTGTGCTGCTATATAGGATTAAACAAAAACATCACAGTTCAGTATGGGAAAAATGTTGTTTTCAGGGATTGCTTCATAGTGTATGTTGTACACAAGTTCCGGGCGACCATTGGAAAGTCTCACCTCATTCGAGATGGGGAGGAGATTCTACTCGCATTTTCTGGTGGGCCGTGTTCTTCAGCACTACTACATTTAGTGCAGGAGGTGAGACAAGTAAACTGTCAACAGTTATGTCCCCCTTTCACTACGACCACGAATATCCCGAATCACCCCGAATCGGAAACTTTCGAAATTTGCGATGATTCGGCCAATAATGCAAACTTTTGTGGAGAATCGGTAGGAAGTACGAAGCAGTTATGACAAACGTACGACGGAGTTACAAAAACTCGTGGCTAATCGGGTTGGAAAATATGAAGAATGCCAGGAATGGGTTAAGAAACATGTACAAGATTCATGTACGGATCATGCACAAATTGTAAGAATCACCTACTACTAAGTTACAAATATGCCGAATACATGTACGAATGCAGAACGATTGCAACGAATACGACATACTTAAGAGTAATTTGCAAAAATCGGTACTTTTCGGGTTGAGGACAAGAAATTTTGAGAGCCACAAATATCTAAGAATAGCCAAGAATGCAAAAGAATTGATTACAAAGCTGTTACTGAACATAAGAATTAATTACGCATGGATTCCAATACAGCCACGGAATTGCAATTCGGGGACCCTTCCACGAAAGTTTTTGACAAACAAAAACTTTCTTGCCGATTTGACGAATTCCCGCAAACTGTGCAAATGTTTGGGAATCAAATAAGATTCATTTAAGAACTTCAAGAAATGATTGAAATTTATCTACGAACATGAAAAATTTCCTATTCCGGCTGATTCGGGATATTCGTGGTCGTAGTGAAATGGGAGGATTATGGAGGACTGACGTGACAGCTTGAAAATGTTAAGCCAAGAGTTTTATTATCACTATGATAGATAGACCTAGTGCATTGGGTGTTGCTCATGGTATCAACCACTGGGTTGTTTTGCCCAGACTTCAAGTGGTTGTGATACAGTTATACAGAGATGCCAACCATGACGCTTTTGGCGTAATAATTATGCCTTTGAGCCTTAAGTTAAGTTACCACGCTTGTCCTCCTCAAGTTACAATTTTTGACATTTTTTTCACAAATTATTTACTTATTTATATAATATCAGAGAGAGCAAATTGTTAATGCACTGATCATGCGAAGCATTCTACAGGGAGCTACTTGCATATACACCGATATCTCTTAGGAACTAGAAACACCACATGTATCGTTCTGCTTTACAGATAATGTTGTCACATCATGAATTTTATAAATGTGTAGAGCTTTGACCACATGTTCTGTCATGAATACAGTGTTTGCAACGCCATTATTTTTGTCGCCTCGCTCAAATAACAGGGCACAACAGCTTGAATTAAATGCTTTTGTAAGTGATTTATGATCTAAAATTACAAAAGCTATTAAAAATACAATGTGTATTTTTTCAAATGTGGCCCCGATGCATGTCACTTATGAGGATGTTGCATGCTGTTAGGGAACTTTTTCGATGTTGATGTTGATTCGAGGTTTTTGTCATATTTCACCATACAAACACAAGTAGAGACATTTTTTCTGTTAATCTATAGCTTTATCGCACGTTTTTTAAAATAATGGAGCTTGCGTGTGAATCTACATTACAAGCATCAGTGTATGTGTATCCATGCTTCACGTATGTGTAAGCCAAACAAAAATGTCGAAGTGAAAACTAGTGTACTGTACGTGTAGATAATTACTTTAGAGTCTGAAATAAATCAATGATCATGTGGACAGTGGTCATGATTGTTGGATGAAATAACAGACCCCTATGACTGCCTTTGATGGGCTGTAGGTAAAATGAATGTTATTGTTCGTCCTTTGGGACGCGGTGTAATGTTTTTCTGCATCCATATCTCTACATTTGTGTGTACTGGACGCACATTTGAGCGTCGTGTTAAACCCTGTGCTACTTGATAAGGGAGAATGCTCTGTGTATATCGAGGATGGAGCCAGTGTTTCATTGTTTGCACCACGTTTATTGCAGGGTCTCAGTCAGCGAGCACACAAGAGATTAAGATTCAAACCCAGTCTTGTGCATATTGATGGTAAGTGCAGTTCAGTTACAAGATATTTTAGAGCAGAGACATATCTTGTGGGATATTGTGAAGATTTTGACAGTCATCAAACATCGAAAACATCTAATAAGATGAATGTAAAATCCCCAGGTTTTGTAACATTTTGTAGGTGAAATTGAATTATTCAAGGCAAGAATTTAGTTTAAATGTTCTGTTGACCCCACAAAATATGAATAGTGAGGAAAATCCCGCTCTAATTAGCGCCCACGGCAATATTTGCTAATATATTGGCTGGTGAACAATCCCAATTAGCACCCCTTCTGATTGATCAATGTACACAAGACTTATTTAATCGTGTATAATATGTGCTTGTGGGTTATATGCTCCCTTAGTTATGGGCAATTAAATTCTGGAAAATATATCTGTCATGTATAATACGCACAGACTTTTCTTTTGTATCATTTCAGGCTGTCAGCATAAACCACTAAATTTACAATCTTTCAACTCTGTTTTTTTCTCACCAAAATTATGTTCTAATAAGAGCCCCCTATTTCTAATTTTGAGAGTGCCCTGGGTGCTTATTATGTCGAATACAGTAAATGCATTTAATAGGTTAAGCAGCAAGTCAAAAGGTTACACAAGGTTGAAATACACACATGTGGCAGCAAACAAAAGAAGAACAAAACAAATGATCTGAAATGCCTTTTGAAAGTAACTTTTCCCCCTCTTACCAACCAGGATGTTTCATCTGTAAACCAAGAAATAACAAACTGTTTGGTCTAAGAACTTTTGAAAACTCTCAGGTGGTATGCACATTTTATTCCTGTTTTCGTGATTACAGTAATTTGACAATGTGAAATGTTTGATTTTTTTAGAAATGGGTGTTCTTGATTTACCATCTGAGGAACGCGAGAAAACAAATGCTGCAATACTTGACGTCCTACGAGGTACTGGTTATCCATGCTACATCAGCTCACTGGAGCAGGTAGGTCTTCAGTCATACTTCAAACTTATACACCCACTGACTTCGATTCAACTGACGATGGGGTTTGTTTCTAAAAATAATCTGTTGAATTTATCTTTTGAAACCAGGGATGGGATAAATATTAGATATTTGTCATATACATAACAATAAATTAAAAAGACCAGCCATTTCAATGTGTGTACTGTCATCAAGCCTGGATCAGACACACCAGTGGAAGGGCAAGTGTCTGATTGAGCCAGACTCTCACAGCATGATGAAAAGTCGCTACAGATCAGGTCACTTCTGAACGCTGATCAAGGTATCATGTGATGATGTTTCAGGCTCTGGATTTGCCAGATGGAAGTGGGGAGCAGAAAGTGGGTCACTGTCGTCCTCCATGTTGGAACATTGACAATGGGGAGGGGCTGGAGAACTACAACAGAGCGAAGCATGATAAGAGACTGGCAGACGTCTTCAAAAGCATCAAATCAACAACAGCCAAGGAAAATTATGTCAGGAATCTAAGGTATCAAAACCTTTTGCACTTTTTGGTAGACATTAAAATTAATGCTGATTGATGTGAAGAAGAAGTCACTCAAGCACTTTTCAACTATTCACTAGATGTTACTATGGTTACAGAATGTCTCAATAAGAGGTGTAACAATACAGTGGGATCGTGATACAATACATATCCCAATACTATGGGTGCTGTAACATTTGTATCATTTGTATCCTGATACAGTACTTTTATTCACAAGTTGATATTCTTTCTTTTTGCAGGTGATTCACAATCCTGAAACATTTGTTATTAAATTTCAGAGATCAAAGATGGGATATTGTAGGGCAGAAATATGTTGGCTATAGAGCACTGTGTGTTATGCTTTTTATGTCTAACCTTAAATACTAGAGAATCTTGAAGTTTGTGGTGGAACAGTTTCTGTTAATATAACTTGCAATTAAATGTGTCGTATGTATCATGATACAGGGCTCTTATATTGATGTATTGTGGGCCTGGTATCACGATACAATACTATATCGCTGTATCACTACACCGCCAGTCTCAATTCAGGTGGTGAAATGTTCTGAATGTGTGGATTTATTGTCATGATAATGTTGTTATAAGATAAGGCTGCTTTTATCCTTACAGAAACCAACTTTTAACTGCCATAGCACGTCGCCATAGTTACAGCAAGGTGATGCTAGCTAACACATCCACTCGTCTGGCCATCCGCATCCTGTCTGATATAGGTCAAGGTCGTGGAGGACAGGTGTCTGTTGACACGGTGAGCTGATAATGACTGCATACATTGCCTTGTTTTTTTATCCAGACAACCTGACTGGCAACTTTACAAAGTTCCCAGACCAGATTATATGTTGCCATTCTAGAATTTTCTAGACTAACAAACAAAAGAAACAAGAGGTTATTCATACGAATAGTGCTGTTTAATGTTAGTTCACAGAAAATAATAAACTGGTGGATTGTCAACTTCGTAACTTTAAGTCATTGAAATTTTATTCATCAAATCCCATATCTGATTCATCTTTGTCTGTAAACTCAGATCCATATTTGCAACAAAGACAGCCACTAACCAACCTATAGAGAACACATGCCCATTGCTAGGACGTCCCCATTATGGTAACATTAACCAGAGCTCCGTACACACAGTAGGCATCACATTTCTATAGAATTCTTAGTACATGCACTGTTATAAACAAGACAAGCCTAAGACATTTACTATGTGTTTAATTTCGAGCATTGGGCCAATAGAAAATGAGGGCAGAAACATGATATCAAGATAAGCAGAAGTGACTGCATAGTGTGTTTAGCATTTACAGTTAATTTATCTCTTATACTGAAATAAAACTAGAAAGCTTAGGTAATTTAGGAAATACAATAATAGCCCAACCCATGGGCGTATAACTTTTCAAAACTGATCGTCCGTCAGCAGTAGTAATTGGATTTAGAGTGAATCCCACAGCTGTACTAGTTTGTAGAGTTACCTCCCCTACATATTCCTTGGTTTTGTGGTGTAATGATTCACCGAATATTGGTGCACCTTGATACATGATGAAACAATACTCATCTTATTGAGAACTGCGGTTGTATTGATACAAAAAGATATATATATATCTATTAAGCTGTTATTGTGTACATAATGTATTTTGGAAAAAATATGACACGAGATGTTCTTATGACACCTACATCAGTTCAATATATTCTTATTGCACATGTACTATGAAATAAATCTCCAGCATCAGCTCCTTGTTAATCAGTATTGTGTAACGTATCATAACCCTACTATCAAGATTTGTATTGTATCATTACTGGACACGTTGTTGGTACTGATGAAGCGAGAACAATTGACTGATGAATGCACAATGTTAACAAAGATTTGTGCTGTGTTTCAGTGTTTTGCCGATGAACGCCATGGTGATATCATGTTTGTCAGACCAATAAGGTGAGTTGGACTGGTTGCCATCATTGCAAGTGTAATGTTATATTGCTAATACAAGATTCTCCTGTTGCAGTAAATATGTCAATGAAAAAAAAAATGTGACCATCCCTAGATATAGGGGTGTCACGATAAATCGAAATATCAGTATATTGCTATTGGTAAGTACTTAAAGTCATTAAATCGATTGTTAAATCAGTTTCCAATCAATAGTATCGATTCCAGTTAGGAATATTGATAGTTTCGATTGTATTTACCATATCATGCAATTGAGTCACCAAAACATGCTCGTGAATGCAGCCCAGTGATGATTAGAGTTAACTGCCCTTGATGCTTAGCAACCGGTCTTTCTTAAAGTAAAATGGCGGAGGGTGACAGTCAAGTGGAGTTTGTGACAAACTTAGGTTGAAAATCGAGTGTTTGGAAGTCTGATGGTTATCACAGTCAAAGGAAACTTCAGTTCCAAAGTTTAATTCAACTCTAAAATCCATCTGAAAAGATTCACTGAAAACTATCGATATTTATCACAATAGTTGCTTGCAATATCATTAGTTATCGCAATAGTTGCTTGCAATATCAATAGTTATTGCAATAGTGATTTCCAGACAAATAGTCACCCCTACCTAGATGTCAATACTCTGTCAACTGAAGCATGTGTGGAGACTCTCAGTCTTTGTCTCTGGACTTGTGCACTGCATAGAGGCACAGATGGATTGTTCTATTTACAGGATTGCCAAATATTTGAATGAAATAATGATATATATATGACATTTGTATCATAATGTATGACGTTACACATTTGATGCCAGAAATAATGTTGTATATTGTGAAAATCAATTTTCCTTTATGATGTAAATACACATTAATACACAGGCTCGCTTGGTTGAGGCAACAACTTTGAATGTAGTTCTACATTGAACTGGTGGTTGTTGATTTTAAGCAAAGGAGCAAGAGAAATTGTATGCTAAGTTTAGTGATAGGAGAGATGGAACTGTAGACATCACTTTCACAATGCAGCTATTCTGGGTCAGGCTATTTAAAAGACATAAACGACTTGTGGTCAATGTCTATCATACAATAAAACACTGCAGGGAGAATAAACCATGAGCAGCGTTGTGTATGACATCAACATTATGTACAGCCTCTTCATGGATGGGGTACAAGCTTATTAAATATTTTCCCGTATTTAAATATTGATCAAGTCAATAGAATTGCACCTCGGCAATGTCGGACAGTCCATTTTATGCACAGGTGGGTATTTCCCGCATATTCTCACAATCCTCATGTCGATTACATGTACCTTTTCTCCCAATACTGATTGTCATATCTCTCCCACTTTTGAATGCGATTGTTCAGCCATCGCGTTTATCAGCATTTCCCAGCTACATCTATGGGGAACAACTCACTAGACACTTCCCTTTCAAATATATCGTTGTCCAATTTACGATGTCATCAAGTTGCAAGCTCATGGTCAAATTTCCAGAAATGTCATGATAGAGCAATGTTTTATCGTGAAATAAACCACTCTTCGTTCTTCATTGTTCTTTGAGATTTATAGTGTAGCTATCTCATATACCCTGATAGAAGATGCAACCATGTCTGTTATTTTCCAGGGAGGTGACATCTAAGGAGGTGGCCATGTACAACTCCCTATACCGGGTGGAGCCTGTCTTTGTGCCAACACTCACAACACAGGTAACAATGTCTCCTCCACATCTACAACTCATTGATTTTATCTGTACGGTCCATGGAAGAGGTTTCATCAGGATAAGTCAAAGGTCAAATTATATCAGTTGTCAGTTTCTACAAACATGAAAGTCGATACATTGGAACCCCATTAATCTGGATGTGGATCTCCCTGTGAAGTTGTCCAGATTAACTAATGTCTGCATTGTCAAATCATGGATAGGAAGGACTGTCCCTGTTTTCATATGTAAGTGTTCTCATAATGACTTGTGTGGTAAACAATGAATGTGACAAGTTTGAACTTCATACTTCATGACTAAGTACAGTAATGTAGCCAATTCTAATTTCTAAGTTGTATTTATTTAGTTTAAGCTCTTTTGAACAGTTCATGTTCAAATATTGAATTTCATTAACCTGTTGAAGCACACACACACACACGTACACACACACACACACACACAACACTAATATGTAAGTGCAATATTGTCGGGTGTGACGTTAAACCTCATTTCACCTCACTTTATTTTTGCTCCAGGCTTCGAGAGGGGCCAGCATTGACCACCTGACCGAGTGTTTTGTGACTGGGCTCCAGGCCGAGTTCCCCTCCACCGTCAGTAACATAACAAGGTGTGTAACTCAAGGTTCACCTTGGGACAGAGCATGTTCTGCAACACTGTTGTAGAGTTTGCAATAATGGTAGCATGCCTGTCACTGGATTAACCCTTTCTGTGAATGTTTCAAATTGGCTGAGGGGCTACTGCATACATAGCATGCTCCTTGTCAGTCATCCAACAGTGGATAAAGTCGCATTTTTCTCCATTCCCTTAAATCCAAGGTTGAGAGATGTCAGAGAAAGAAACTATTAAGTGGTTTCAGGCTTGTTTCTCTCTGTTAACAAGATATGTGTACTTCTCTATGTATAAGAAATATATGTACTTCTAAAACTACTGGTTATTGTGTTGTGTCCACCGTGAAAGACTGGTACAATAACCTGGCAAATTGTCTTTGAGAACTGGTAGATCAGATTTCTTCACCAGGCCGAAATTGGTCCAAGAAATTATCTGAAATTAATTCCCTTGTTAGACAAGTGCATAATAACACAGGCAGTAATACCAAGCCCAATCAGTAACTATACATGGAGCGTAATGGTCAAGGGAGATAACTGTTGATAAATTTAAACACCTTTCAGTTAATAAACAAACATCATATCTAAAACAGTCTAACTCATAAGTAGTAAGGGTGTAAGAGGCCACAAACGTGATCACAGGTGAGCAGAAACCTGGTTTTCTGAATTCTCTTTCATGGGATGGGATAAAGTTTGTATGTGGTGATACAGGATGAACACTCCCAGAACTGCTGTTTCAGGACGGCAGGCAAGCTGGACAGTGTGGTGAGGACGGGGACAGAGGACTTCTGCGTCTTGTGTCAGGTGAGTCCATTCGCGTCCTCGGGTGGACCTGTACCAGTCCCAACCTCACCTGCAGTACAGATGTTTCAGTTTCAAACTCCCATTATGAGGCAAACACTAATTCAGGTTGAGTTGGACAAGTGACCCTGTGCCCTTTGGTGTAAGGTGCTGCCATTCTCTGTGATCATTGCTGGGGGTGTACCAGTGTTAGAAATTGGCACTAGTCCTGTAGCCCTTGCCAAACTGCCCAATAGTAGGAGGAGTAGAAATATGCCATTTGCTGGGGGTGTACCAGTGTTAGAAATTGGCACTAGTCCTGTAGCCCTTGCCAAACTGCCCAATAGTAGGAGGAGTAGAAATATGCCATTTTTAAGGGTTTTGCTAAATGGTATCATTATAAGGACTAGTGGACTAAAACTGTTAGTTTCTACCACTGTGTACCCTCCTCTTTGTTTCAGACGCCTTCCGTGTCATCATGTGTCAGTCTCTCTATGATGTGTGTGTTCACTTCGTCTGTTGGTTAATGTGCACCATTCTACAACCAGCTTCACTGTGGGCTTTCAATCAAACACGGTGTCTTACATTTTGGGGGGAACAAATTTAAAAACTGCAAGCTGGTCATTTGTACGCTAAGAGTATATTCAATTTTGACTGACTGAAGTACTTTAATACTAACCCTATCATTGTCTCATCACCAGTCTCCGCTAGATACAAATGTGGGCGAGGCATCAGCTTTGCGTGCGGTGGAGTTCTCGGACATGTTATCAAAGAGAGGCTGTGACCCAGGAAGTACAACCTCTGGATGTTGTGGTGAAGGTGACGGGAGCTGTCAGTCATCCAAGGTCAACAGGTGAGATATGAGTTTGTCATACCTGGTGTTTATCAAAACAGAAGAAGACTCACCCCAAATTTCAGACATTGTTCATGACCCTTCCAAAGTAGTTTAACTGTCTGTAAAATATTGATGCAAGTACATGAATGTACACCAGCTGTCAACTCAGGGTATCTACCAGGGGTATCTACAGCCATTGGACCTGATGGTCCATGTAGCACTGGAGCAGAAATAATTTTCATGACTTTACTTCTTGTTGGATATGGATCAAACACAGCCACATGATGAGACTAACATGGCTACAAGTTCATAGTTTCAGTTGTACTCCTTGAGCATTGTCACAGCACTGACATGTAATATGGGTACATAGTTTGTGCCCATTTATATGGCTCCCTACCTGTAACAATGGAGGATTGGCAATGTTAATCTCTGGATGCATGAAAAAGTGTTTTTGATAGATATACAAGTAAGCACAAATAGTGTATCTGAATATATGCAGCAATGACATTGTGTTTCCAAATGTGATCTCACTTGTGGGCAACAACTTGCAACTAATCACATTGCTGCACCCATCTCAGGGTGACATATAGAATAGTTATGTGTTAGTGACTAGCATAGAGACGAGTTGTCTCCGTTATGGGTCTGCTGGAGAGACTAGGTAACCATGACGACAATGGTAGCTTTTTCACAGGTACCATGGCCGTAATGTGAAATGAAGACGATGTTTGTGTTTGTTTCAGTTTACACAACACTGATGTGATCAAGGCCCTGTGTTACGGATGTCGGCTGACTGTGAAGGACATGGTGAGTCAGGTGATTAGATCTGTAGGAAGCTCATATCCCGACACTCATGTCATAACATCAGTAAAGACACACATATTAAATAGTATCTATATACTATCATGGCGCACAGTGATATTGTATTTATGTAAGATAGGTATGTATGGAGTGATATGAGAGAACATATTTGCTTGATGCTTGGTTGATGTGCTTGCTTGATATGCTTGGTTGATATGCTTGGTTGATGCTTGCTTGATATGCTTGGTTGATGCTTGCTTGCTTGCTTGATATGCTTGGTTGATGCTTGCTTGGTTGATATGCTTGAATGATATGCTTGCTTGATATGCTTGCTTGATATGCTTGGTTGATGCTTGCTTGGTTGATATGCTTGGTTGATGCTTGCTTGCGTGATGCCTGCTTATATGCTTGCTTGATATGCTTGGTTGATGCTTGCTTGGTTGATATGCTTGAATGATAGGCTTGCTTGATATGCTTGGTTGATGCTTGCTTGCTTGATATGCGCGTTTGATGCTTGCTTGCTTGATATGCTTGCGTGATGCCTGCTTATATGCTTGCTTGATATGCTTGCTTGATGCTTGCTTGGTTGATATGCTTGGTTGATGCTTGCTTGCTTGATATGCTTGGTTGATAGGCTTGAATGATAGGCTTGCTTGATATGCTTGCTTGATATGCTTGGTTGATGCTTGCTTGCTTGGTTGCTTGATATGCTTGCGTGATGCCTGCTTATATGCTTGCTTGATATGCTTGCGTGGTGCTTGCTAGATATGCTTGCGTGATGCGTGCTTGATGCTTGCTTCATATGACCATCATCAATCCATCATCAATCAAGATGCATCTTCCAAAATGAATAGAGGTGTGAATTCATCATTGACATTTTTCAGACTGATGTGTCTCAGTTGCCAAGTCATGTGACCCAGGAAGCTGCCTCCAGGATCAGTAGGTATGAAGGGAGGAATTGTTTGTATGAGTGAGTGAGTTGCGTTAATCACCACTTTGAATAGTATTTCAGTTATGTCACAGTGTCGTCTTAATGTGGGAGGAATGCCCCAAGTGATGCAGGTCGTAGACGTTTATGAAAAACCCATGAGCATGGAAACATGAATTGGGCAGATCTGGGATTCAAAACCATGAACATAGGTTTCTGGTATGCTCAAGGCATGAGACTGCATGTTGTGAATTGTGGCACCAAACACAAATAGGTCAATATGACTCTCTATGGTGACTGTGAGTTTTATACCTTGGTACAGATAGCAGAGATACATCTACATCTGGAAATTGATAGACCCAATCTGCATAAGGAGCAGTATTGATATGACTCGTAATTAAAATTATTGGACATTTAAGAGAATCATAGGCCATGATATTTTGTAGGCCGTTGTTGATTGGGAACTGATCCAAAATATTTATTTATTTCATAGCTAATAACTCTAACTATAGCTCAGTAAAAAATGTGTTTTTTGTCTGTTATTTTTCAGGTTGAGGATGAAAGAGGACATACAGGACTTCCTTATAGATGGAGACAGTTGATCTGCATTCTACAAGATTCAAGCTGACACCATGTCTTTCACTATGTATGAAGCAGTTTATCACTGCGAGTTAGTCTGGCAGCCATTGTGGCCCATTAGTGGAAGGTGCTTTAGGGAGTTGTGTGATCAAATCCCTGATTGACCCTGGCCATGATGCAGATGTCTAGGACCTTCATTGGGGCAGTGGGGTAGCCTAGTGGTTAAAGACCCTGGCCATGATGTAGATGTCTAGGACCTTCATTGGGGCAGGGGGGTAGCCTAGTGGTTAAAGACCCTGGCCATGATGCAGATGTCTAGGACCTTCATTGGGGCAGTGGGGTAGCCTAGTGGTTAAAGACCCTGGCCATGATGCAGATGTCTAGGACCTTCATTGGGGCAGTGGGGTAGCCTAGTGGTTAAAGACCCTGGCCATGATGCAGATGTCTAGGACCTTCATTGGGGCAGTGGGGTAGCCTAGTGGTTAAAGACCCTGGCCATGATGCAGATGTCTAGGACCTTCATTGGGGCAGTGGGGTAGCCTAGTGGTTAAAGCGTTCACTTGTCACACTGAAGACCTGGGTTTGATTACCCACATGGGTGCAATGTGTGAAGCCCATTTCTGGTGTCCCCTCCCGTGATATTGCTGGAATATTGCTAAAAGCGGCGTAAAACAATACTCACACACTATGACCTTCATCACTTGGACTTGCTTCTTGATTTATTAAGCACTGAACTACTGTTCAAAGTAGTGTTAATCACATCACTCTCGAATCATCACATTTTTATTATATAGGGTTACTTTTTACATTTAATTAAGCAAAATGAACTCGGTGTTGGGAAAACAGTAAGATATTAGTATTAATTTCAATGTAATAGTAAGCTTTTAAAGCAAGCAGGGCCTGCCTCTAATCGTTTTTAGAAACAACATATTTTGAGCTACTTGCAGGGGTATTACGAACCCAGTTGTCTTACTGGTAATCCAGGATAAGTTGAACCAACTCTCAAAACGTGTTTGAGACAAGTAGGTGGTGCACAGAAATTGGGCATACACATTTGGTGTGTTACAGGTAGAGAGGGTGTACGCATGTTGTGCACGTTCAGGTCATGACGATGACATTGACTATGCTCACGTAGACACGTTTTGCTCATAAGGCTATTAGAGGTCAGTGTGACAAGTCGATACTAGAATTCTTATCTAAGACACGCACATTTCATCGTATTACTTGTCGCGGACCACCCACTACACCCTCACGATGGTAGACGCCAGTGGGTGGACCTCATACATATTCATACAGGGTTAATTGTCAGGTCACAACTTATCCTGGTTACCAGTAGGTGCTGCAATTTTCAGTGCAGTATCCTCCCATAGGTGCCCGGATCTGGTGGGACTTTAATTCCTGATATGCCTTTACTATCTGGTCTATCTCGTGGGTTTCACCAAAGTGGTACATGTAGTGACCTGCATAACATGCTGGGATCTGGAATACGGGTTAAGTGAGACATTAGAGTAAATAAGTTGGAAAGGAGTGGAGGGCTGACAAACTTGCACACCATCACTACAAACATGCCAGTTATGGTATTCTTAAATACAATTTGTTTTACAAACATAACTAAAAGAGAACTTTTATCTTCCTATTCAAATGCCTAATAAATTTTGAACCGTGACATGTTTTTTTCTTGATTCCCAAACTGTTGTATACAAACAGGTTAACCTGGTTTGTGTTGTCAAAGATCAAATGAAGTGAGTTTGCTTCAAGCTTGTATCCCTTTCATAAAGGATGCAAGGAAAGGCTTAAAGTTGTTGGTTGATCGTTATTTCAACATAGTGTTTGCCTTGAGGATGTAATACAGTGGTAAACGGTCTATCACAGTCTAGAGTCAACTAAGTCAACGTCACACCTTTTCATTAGATTTTAGAACAAAATTTTACTAGACTCGGGCTTCGAACTAAAGTTGTTGACTGCTATCATGCCACCATGACCATTTCTGATCATCCTCAGTATCGAGTTTTAGATATTTCTATTCTTTAATGATAAAAACCCTGGACGGAAAACGAGCGAGAACATTACTAGTACTTGTCTCAAATACAAGCCTGGTAGCAAAAGGTCTCTCCCCATCTTTGTGCTCAGGAAAACATCCCTTTTTTATGATAATATGATGGATATCTAATCAGATAGAACTCCTGGAAATCAAATGATTATTTTAGAAGATAATTAGTCAGGTACAGATTTTGACCAAATGAACTCACAACTTATCACATAGTACAAGTCAAATTTGGTAGCGAGATGATATTGGGTCACATGATCCAAACATGCAGGGAGACTAATTTATGGAGGACAAATATTTGATGGAGTTTTAAGCGCACATCATGGTTAATATACAGCCAGGTTGATGGCTACAACAAGTGAACCAGATGAAGGCCTGGTTCAGTTTGAGGAACTTGGACTAAATCTGTGCAAGCTGGTGACTATGAGGAAGTGAATGTTGACGAAAGGTGAAGCTTCTAGGTGTGTACATCTACAAATGTAGCACAAACCCCACACACTGGCTCCATACTAGGAAGCAGTTAAAAAATATGTTGCTGAAAAAAACTTAATTCCTTTTGTTTTGACAAATACCAACACACCATGCAAGGAAGATTTTTGAGCTGTCAGGATCTTTTTTGGTATTTCAATTAGTTTTACCTTGTTTCTACTGGAACATAGTCATGCAAATCGTTTTCAGGGTAAAAACAGCATCATTAGAAGTGTTATTTTTGTACTTTAACTGTAAACCTTAGAAAGGTTGATTTTGTCAGACAGAAAACTATTACCCCCACCCCAACTAAAGAGGTTTTTTTATCTTCTTTTGAACTGTTGCCATATATTGTCTCAGTTTGATGTTCCACCAAATAAAGATGCAGTTAACTCAGTGCTGACCCAAATGCAAGGTTAGATATTATTTCCTGATGCTGTGACATTTCACTATCCTGAACATTCTAGCATCCGAGTTAGTGTTCAAATGTTACAATATTCCACAATAGAGAGTCTGTGGCTAGTAGCAAGAAGAATATGTCACACAACCATCCAGGTCCCATATAGTTACCACCCACTCTTCACTTTAGTCAGCTCTAAGACAAGCGTGGTTGTTTCATATATTTGCCCTTGATGCAGCCTGACTTTAGCCACTATTCGAAGCTCGAGTCTAGTAAATTTCTGTTCGGTGTAGTAAGCTCAGCTAGTAATAGTCCAAATAATACAAAAATCTATAAAAATATGAACTTAACGCCAGTAGACACAAATGTATTTGCAGATTGTGTAAATGGTCAGAATACCGGACTGTTCACTTAGGATATGTTTATTTGTTCTCCATGCTATTCACAATGTCCATCTCCCCCACTGCCTTGTGCAGGAGGCTGTCATTGACTGGAATTCTGAATACCGGCGTAGTAACTGAAAACATACCACATTATGTTGATACATCAATTATTAATCCATGGATTAATGGGAAGCATTTCAAGTTTTGAGATGTTAAAATTTCAATCATTTTATACGTTAATATGTTATCATACATTTCTCAACTTCCTGTCTTTAGCACAATCATCAACAAAAGATGAAAGTTGGCCTATGTAACGCACCTGCTTCCAAGTCACAATAATTCTATTGGTATCTATATCTTTTTATTTGTGTAGTGATATAATAAACTGAGACATTTTATAAATAAATTAATGTTTTGATTTTCAATGACAACCCACTTATTACGTGGAAATGTTGTTGCTGAAGTTCAGCTGTTGGTTAGGTGAAATGGGGTTAAATGCATAAACGCCCAGGGTTATTTTACTTGTATAGCAATGTGCATGTACTAGGCCAGATTTCTGCCCGTTTTATGGTGTTAGCTGACTGAGACCCCATGCTGCAGTTTAACATGGATACTCCACTCAGACTCCAAGCCAACCAGTTCTTGCTTTAGGCCCATAGTGCTGAGCAACAAGCAGGGCAACAACAAGTACCATCTCCAAACGTCCTTGGTGTAACGCAGATACGGATCAAACCTTCAACCGGGCAGACATTCTATCCACTACAGATTAACTGACATTCAACTGTAGGTGTGGACTAGATCTGCCATTTCAACGCAATTTGAATCACAGAAAATCGAAGCTGTGTACAAATAAAATATATTCGGTCTCATACATGAAAAGGTGTGGTGTGGTTGTGAATAAGCGCCTGCTCGTAGGCCTGTTGAAGGTAGATCTCATGGTGGGCCTGTAGTTTTAAATATCAATGGTCCTTTTGGCCTGCAGTAAATTTACGTGTCAATTTGTCACAATAAGCTGCAGTTCCTTCAGTCAGGGCCTGCAGATTCCAAATTCTGTGGGTCCTGATGGCAGCCTGGAAACTTATTGTATTTCACACACTGGTTGTGTGTGTGCAGCTATGAATTCCTGTGTGATACACAACAAACACTGGTACATATTTATATGCTTTTGTAATTTTTCAATTACAACCTTTCACTTGTGACACCATTAACACTTTCAACTTGGATAGGGATAGTGCACAAATATTTCATGGAAATTCTTGAACATTCACCACTTAGGGTCCTGGTTCTTTGGGGGACAGACAGTCCTGCCATTACAAGATACTCCAGTCTTAAGGTACCCTACTGCACTCAAATAAATACTATAAGTACCAAATAGCTTATCAAGATTTGTCACAATATACAGTAAAGATATAACAAATTCATTCTGTGATAGAACCATTTTCGGTTTTCAGCAGTAGTTCTCTGAACAGGGACAAGTAAGTCTGTTATTCTACAAAACATGGATGATTGTGAAATTTCAGCCTGTTCAGACTGAACTTGCCGTCCAGTGATTAATGTAAATTAAAAAACATTCCAAAAATCAAGAACATCTCAAAGGCTACCAGTCACTATTGTAACAATACAAACACTATCCATCCAATCATCAATAGTTGACAAAACCTAACAAGACCTGAAAGACCTTTCTTGTTACGTAAGCAGTTTCAAATCTTAACAAAACATACATCGTGAAAAATCTTAAAGTGTGAATACTGTAATTATCTTGAGGGTTCCAAGGATGGGATATGACTAGTTTCAAATTTGAGAAACTTGTTTTTAGTTTTTGCCATGTTTATCAGCCATATTTGTGTGAATGAAAACTCTCCTCTCTATTGGACATGTCACCAGACAGCAACTAACATGAGTACAATAGGTTGATCATTCAAATGTCTCAAGAACATCTGACTATGAACAACTCTGTGACCAAAAATGATTTTCACTAAGTGTCTACCACTTAGCCACAGTTTTCGTTTCATGTTCTGGTAAGTCCAAAACTGTAAGTTATGAAAAATACAAGATGCTAGTTCTCACATCAAATGCATACTTACAAAAACATTTTTATCATTTTTTTTCAACTTAGCTCGTCTTAGTGGTCCTAATCATGCTTATATGTTGTCCTTATTGTTCATTTTCTAATCTGTGACGGGAAGGAAATTACTTATCAAGTTGATATCCCTAGAATTCTTCGTTCAACGGAGAAGACCGGCCTTGAACACACTTAATGACGAGAGACGGGGCACATGAAGTCATTCATTCAGCCACAATACTTCAGTTATTCTCAGTCTTGCTTAAGGTAAAACAACATATCGCAACAACCAAACAACCAGGACCAGTACAATAACAGAACATGATTATGGTAACCATAGTAACAACAGCACTTGGGTCATTAGTAACCTCTTGGGTTGGATGAAAATGGTATTGCTTATACATTCATCAAACACCACATGTGCTTTTTATATCTCGTAGCGCAGAAACTGGACTATTTTTCGCGGTAAAGGCAATCGACTGACATCTTCTTTCCGGATCATCTGGAGAATAAGATCTCTACAAGCATTCTGGAGGGATGTCACTGAAACAAAAACAGAAATACATTAATGTTGATAATGATTTGTAATGAAATTTAACATAATAACCATGACAATATATATGATACACGTTATTTCCAACATATACATATCGCTGTTGTACAAAGAAATGTTAGCCTAACATATAAAATTAGAAAAGAAAAAACATTAGTCAAATCCTGAATTTAATTGAAAACATGACTTTTCTAACATAAAAATTATTTTGTTTGTGAAAATAGACACCAAATAATTGTGAAATCAACATGGACAACATTAATTTGACCAAGAAAATGCCTAAAGCAAGAAATCAAATTGCTCAGATCTAAGAAACAAAATAGAAATAAGACATACCTCCATATAACTGAACAATTCTAACTTGTTTGGTTGTACCATACACATCAACTACAGCGTATATTGGTCCGTCCCGGAAAGGAATCCCACGTGCAGATGGTCCCTGATCCTCGCCATTAATTATAAAGTGCATATCAGCCGAACTGTCCTTAACTTTGTACATAATTCCTATGCGGCTGCCCACGTCTGTAGGCAGTATACTATTCCGACACTTGTCCTCCGCCAAACAATTGCAGTCACCACCGATGCCTCTGTGCAGTCGGTTCAACGGCAGCAACATGCTCCGACTGATGGCGCCCAGAGGCGTGTGTATCACCTCTGAGCATCCTAACACAGACTGATAAGGCTGAGAGTTGGGGTCGTCTGGGTTATCGGTGTAAACTCTATTGTGTGTCTTTGTCACAGCGAAAATCCACGATTTACCCATGTTTGCCAAGTCCGGCAATGCATACTGAGGAAGTTCAAATCGCTGACTCGGGTTAAACTGAGTTAGGCCTATTCGTAAGTGACCACTCCATCCTCGTTCGTTTTTTTCGATTTCAACAAGAAATATTTCTCCTGGTTTCAATGGCTTTTCACTAAAAGTCAAAGCATGCGCAAAGCTTGTTTCTCTAAATGCCACCATGTTGTCTTGAGACAGGCTTATGTTTTGTCCATGATAAGGGTGAAATCGACTAACTGGCATCTTTGATGAGGAAACATATTCTGAAAAAAGAAAAGGACAAAGGGTTGCACTATTTGTTCTTAATCAAAAAAGAGCTCTGTCACATGACGTACAACCTGAAACACAACACATGGAGATATTTGGTGAGTGAATGTTGCTTCAACCACAAACAGCCACACCACAACGGTCTCTAGTCAGATGGGCATGGAACCTACAAAGTGGTAGATCCAGGACTTTTATCAAGGGGACAGGGGCAAACGATACCAAGTCACATAGTGAACAAAAACACATGGTGTGCACACACTTCTCGATCACCAAGCCTAACCACCCTATCTATTTACTGTAAATTAACGCAAGCGTGAATTAAATGCGAAAAATGCGAGTGGTCATTGTTCACATTAATGAAACTTCGCATTTATGTCTCCAAAATGACTATCAACAGTTGGTTCAAATATTTTACTGCCTTTGAACTTCTTTTATGCCAGTCAGTAGAGTAAACATATAAACTGTCTGTTGTTTTTAGGAAAACACTGTTTATTGTTTTTACGGAAGTGCTCTACTCAGCTCTAATAAGTGGTACTATTTGCTGTTTGATTGGATTAAGGTAAGGTCGGATTAAGGTAAGGCTATGTATCATTCCACTGGGGATGGGATGAGGAGAGTCGCATTTTTTACTAGGGGTCAGCAGTCGTATTAATTTGGAGATGCATTAATTTTTTAAGATTTACAGTCCATTATCAAGATTACCGGTATGACAAAAACATGAAAAGAATGTCCAAGACTTACAATGAATAAAACTGTGGTAAACATGGTAAAGCCCTAATAATATAAGTTATATACATGCCAAATCCCTGTACTGTCGTTAAGTAACACCTGTTGACTCTGGATAAAAAGATTTAAAGTTACCTCACTAGGGACAAGTGCATATGTTTCAAGTGAATTTCAGTATCAGACACACAGATAAGCATGATAAGGTTTATATTACAAAAAGTGAAACATGCTCACCCATGGCATCCATCTTGAATGGCATGTGGTGGCCATCATCTAATCAGGCAGACATGGCAAAGTTACTGAAAAGCTGTTAAATAGTCCTGAAAACAAATGTAAAGCATGTTACAAATGACAACAATAATAATTCCAGTTGCGTTAGAAACTAACAGTTTTTGTCCACAAGTCCTTATAATGATAACACATAGCAAAATCTTTAAAATGGGCCAATTTCTACTTGTCCTTAGGATACCTTTACTATTGGGCAGTTTGGTAAGGACTACAGGACTAGTGCCAATTTCTAACGCTGCCTATGCGCTGTACACAGGACCATGTGCCAACCTGGGATACAGGATTGCTTGTATTGACAGAACATATAGTTGAACATAAATTCACACATACTGAACAAAAAAAGGTTTGGGATCATGCTCAGTCTTCACTACCAAAAAAAAAAAAAAAAATCCTCAAAAATATTCATGATCACCTATTTTTATTCAGTATAGAAATTGAAAGGCAGATTAAGAAGTGAGAGGTTCTCGGTTGAAATAACCAATATTAGGCTGTCTGTGACCCTGGAACTGTCAAACCAGTGGTTGATAGTGTGAGCACTGGGAGGTCAGCTAGCTGGGCCACAATCATTGTGATCACCTGGACTCCTTTCACAAAGCGATCATAGAACCATCACTGTTGTATTTTGACATAGATTAAGGACAGTCATACTCGAGGTGCTACCACTACTTTGCTTTCCATGTCAGTAGCAAAACATCACATGCTGACTGAAAGGACACCCGAGTGATACGTCACGTTATAGCACTTATACAGCAATGTGTGTGTGTATGTGTGCGTGTTTGTACTAGTCCTGACTATTGACGATCTTTGAGTGCTAGCCCACTGAGATACCACACCGAGCATGAAAAATATAATATTGTGATACGTATCGTGGAAGAAAATTAACCTCAATTTACTGATATACCGGTAATAATGCGCATCCTTACAATACAGTCATGTGTACCACTTTCATAGGCTTCAATATTTCAATGATTCAGAAAGTGGGAGTTACTGAATATCAACATAGCACATATAAGTAAGTATGTACTTTCATTTTTAAGTCAGCACAGTCATGTTATGTTTATACATCACCTTGTTCAATTCTAGATAGTTAATGCCACAGAATGCCATGTAGTGCTGGGACAGGTAACTCCGGGACGGGTAACTCGGGGACTCGGGTCGGTACTAAGTAGGACCCGGGTACCAACAGGACTACCCGGACCCGTGATTAGTCATGTGATATATTGTTTAATGACAAAAATTATCTAAAAGTCTATGGTTACACTACAAGTCACTAATGTTCCCATTTCTTTCTGACTATGCACCCATTCCTTTTGACTTTTATATGTTTGAATAAAGATAAAACTCAACTTCAGTGTTTGCATGACCTGATCGTTTTATAAGTGTACCTAAATACATTTGGCCAGGGTAGACTTTTCCAAATCGGACATTTTGTACCTATCTCATGAGACCTACAGCGGGTACCCGGGTAGGGTCGGGTAATAGGGGGATGGGTACCCGGGTAGTAAATTTGGACTCGTCCCAGCCCTATTGCCATGGTAATTATAACCTTCATCATGTTCATTCACTACATAATTTATACATCTGGGAAAATTTTGTAATTATAATTCATCTATATGCTTATTAACAGGCAACATCAGTCAAATTAAGTATTTGTCTCTGGTCCGATGTAATACATTCAGTGTTATTACATTTCTTGCATTCATATGATTAACTAGTGTTTACATATAGAATCAAAGGTGATAGAGATTGCCTGAATATAATGATTATAGTTACTTTGTTTCTTATTGTTGTTATTTTTTCTACACAAAACATGTTCGACAATAAGGTAAACTTTGTTAACAACAATCAATGCTCTTCGACATACTGAAAATTCCAAGGTAAAGAACACTTGGGATAATATCTCAAAATGTCCTACCTTAATAACTGTCGGAGGAATAATACACAGAAACATATCAATGTACCAGAAAATGTTACAGATTAAGTCAACATATATATTTGTTTCACTAAAGACGTATGTATGTCTTTGGTTTAACTTAGAAAAAGCTAGGAGTGATGATGATAATTAAATCCTGTAAAATTATAGCAGTCATTCAATATCAAATACTGAATAGGTGGTAATAGATTCCACTGTACATACAAGTAGGGGATCGAATAAATACCATGTTGGCAAAACTACTGGTTATTCTAAATACATCATGAGTACAAAGATATCAAAGTCCTCTCCTAGTTATTCAAAACCTCATCAAACGGAACGCAAATTTTATTTATAGAGTGGGTCAATCGCTAATATGCCCTCACCTACCCCATGTTGAATGTTTTGTACTACGCTTGACAATGCATAGCCCTGCACGTTCTATCCTATTGCTCGCTCAGTGTGTGGTCAGCAGACATTACACAGACTGAATAGTAAACACGCTCTCTCTCTAGGTCACACAACAGCGACACCATTACCCGGCACGTAGGTCTGGGTAAGAGGTTATCTTTTCTGGAGCATGCAAAACGTGGAACTCTGCGATTAAGTGTCTGTCATAAGGGACGCATTAGCAGGAGTCGGACCTGAAAAAATCATTCTTAACTCGTCAAAGTTGTAGTTAAGCTCAACGTGCATAATTATGCATATTAAATTATTTCATAAATGGCAATAAATAATAAACATGTCGTACGAGATAGATGGAGGTCTTGTACCATCTTCTTGTTGTTAATCTTGTTCGCACTTCCTGTACTCCCGAGTGGGTATTTGTGAAAGCGTCACCGATTGGTTAATATCTGCGACAGACCAATCATCTTACTTGTTACATGTACGTTGTTGGAGCGCTATGGCGCATGAAAGCCCAAAGTTATCGCGCACCTGCCAGTGTTTTATTTTAGGACGATAACTCTAAATTGAAGTTTACACAAAGTAACAGTATATAGTATAATAGTATCACACATTTATTATTTATTTCTCACTCTTCTTTGATTGACATTCGTCATGTTTGTGGCCAAATCCATCCCTGTTGATCATAAAGACTTGATCCACGATGTCTCCTATGATTTCCACGGCACACGAATGGCCACATGTTCCAGTGACCAAAGCGTGAAGGTGATAACCAATTTTGATGAATATTATGCTGGAATGTGAATTCACTTGCATGCTAAACTATCTTTCTAAGCTGATTTTCAAAAACACCATGCATGCATAGAATTAGCACACTCCCCTAAGATTAGAACTGGACTGAACTGAAAGTTACCTACACCATAATATTAACAAGTGTATGATTAATGCCTTATCACTGTTGGGGGCACGGATGGCCCAGTCTAAGGTGCCGCGATTCGCTGTGCAGAGTTGCATCCCATGCGCAATTTGGGTTCGAATCCCGGTTCGCTCGGATTATGTTTCGAGGTTTGTCAGCACCATACCCATGCTCGTGGGTTTCGCTGAAGTGGTAAATGTCTGAGACCTGCATCACTTCGGGTTTTCCTCCCACTATTAGCTGACATGCCGTGATATACTGTTAAAGACAGCGTTAAACCCATCTCACTCACTCACCTTATCACTGTGAAGCTGTGAATAAACAGTATCCTTTATAATGACAGTTAGGTACTACTTGTTTTATGAATCACTGTCTGATTATGCCGTTCTCCTCCTGTGTACCATAGTTTGTACCCTGGGTACATATTCTCGCATACTGTTTTTGAGGCCCTAAGAAGTATTTTACATTATGTGTCTAATAACAATGGCAATACACTAAAATTAAGTCGTACCTTTGAGAATATTTATTACTGTTTACAATTGGGTAGTCAAATGACCACACCTCTTGTCAATTTAATTGTGATAATGCCACGCCAAGTGAGACGAGTCAATGAGGCGCCATCTTGTTACTTGATTTCAAGCCCCTCCATGACATTCAAATTAAAAATATCTGCACAATATGATCAGTCACATGACACTACAGACAGGAAGTTTATCAGTGCATACACTTGTCAATGATTTTTCTGGTGCAAAATTATCATCAGATCAAGTTTGATTAAATGTGCATTAGTGAAAAAGTATGTTTTGAGGTATGTGGGGCAGTGGAGTAGTGGAGTGGTTAATACATTCGCTCGTCATGCTGAAAACCCTAGTTCGATTCCCCATATGGGTACAGTGTGTGAAGCCCATTTCTGGTGTCCACCGCCATGATATTGCTGGAATATTGTTAAAAGCGGTGTAAAATCCAACTCACGTTCTTTGCCCCTTGGGACAAACATGGGTTGTAGAATTGGCCTTCAGCAACCCATGCTTGTCGTAAGAGGCCTCTAACAGGATCAGAGGGTCAGTCTAACTGACTAGGTTGATGCATGTCTTCATATCGCAGTTGTATGTAGCGTCTTATTACAGTGGACAAGAGTTGAATTTAACCACCAAGGGCAACAAGTTTCCCCATCCACTGGCAGAGCAATGGCGTCTCTGTATGACATTAGAATGATATAAATTGTCCCCGTTTGAGTACACTATTGAGTGGATTATGTGTTGGTGTTGTAGGTGTGGGACTTGGGAGAAGATGGAGAGTGGCACTGCACAGCGAACTGGAAGGTATTATTTGTTTATTTGGAGACAAACATAAACATTGCTGTTGTTGTGTTTCACATGTATCCCTTCGGTTAGACCTCGGTCAATCAGAAATAAACCTATAGAGAGTGAAAGAAGGAAGAAACTGTTTGCTGTTCCATGTTGACCAAGCAATTTACAAAGTCTTGTGTCTCAGTCTTAATTGCTTAATACTGGTAAATAAACAGATACTGCTACTTCAGCTAAACTGTCCTCAATCTTCTCAGGCTATACTGGAGGATCACTTTTTATCAGGGCAAGAACTTTCAAAATTCCCTACACATGCCAATCATGCTTATCATCTTAATGTTGGTAATAGCTGAAGTTTGTATTGCTGTTGACAGAGTGGGGTACATGTATTTAAACGCTGAACACGCCTGAGTACACACTTCTGTTGCATAATCCTGACAGTATCTGCTAGACTTTGTTGGTGTTGTCAGTAAACGAAATTAAAGATACATGTCAAGTAGTCCTGTTCATAACCCTTCTGTTATAGATGTTTGGGCTCTTTGATGAATTACTGAAGTCTGTGGCAGGATGCCTCAAGGAACCCAGAACCCTTAATTTCAAACACTGATGTGTGATTGTTTTATGTAGAAAAAAAAGAGCAAAAATGAATTTCCAGTATATAATAATTTTGGAAAAAAGAACAATTGTCCATGCGTAGTAATTTTGATATTTTAGTTCCGTGATCAATGGTTGTGTCTGTAAGGTCTTCTTGGTTCGCAGTTCATATTTTCTTTATTTTAGGAGATATTATACATTCTACATATATTGAAATATGTGATATAGGGATTAGAACTAGCAAAGTATATTTTGTGACAGACCAGTTGAAAATCATGATGGCATGTAGTGACTGATGCTGATTTCCCCCTGTCTGTAGACCCACAGTGGCTCCGTGTGGCGAGTGACATGGGCACACCCTGAGTTCGGGCAGGTTCTCGCCACATGCTCCTTCGACAGAACCGCGGCGGTGTGGGAGGAGCTGGTGGGAGAACACGGCAAAGGTGAAGGTCAGACACCATGGGTCAACAGGGGTAACCTTGTGGACAGTCGAACTTCTGTGACGGACGTCAAGTTTGGGCCTCAGTATTTGGGTTTGCAACTGGTGAGTTTCTTTCAGTCATTGTTAATGCGGGAATAAAAAGTTATATCTCAGGCTCTCAACTGGAGTTTTGTTTACAACACATACAAAATGTCATAACTTGTCCCTTTTAACATGTTTAAAGCCTCCCATTTCATTCAAAGAGCAAAGATCTGTATTATAAATATTCAATTTTTCTATTCATTGACAAGTTTTTCATGACCAGATAACATTGGTTTATGAAAATACCTGCATCATATATTGAAATATGTCTGCACCTATCAGTAATAATTCATTTAACATGACAAATGAATCATGCATTGTAGAGATAAATGATGTTAATCACTCGGAGAAGCCCTGTTGTACTGTAGTGATGACCTACATTACTATAACACTGGCTTTAATCCGGACACTATATAAGTACAGTGATCTTGAACGCGAAGTTAAGTGCCATTTCACCTCATGAGAGAGTGATCCTGCAAATGGATAAGTCAGTGTGTACCGCTTACACTGTGTGTTTGTTTGTGCAGGCAACATGTTCAGCTGACGGGATCGTCCGAATCTATGAGGCTGTGGATGTGATGAACCTCAGCAACTGGCCCCTCCAGCATGAGATCTCATGTCGGATCAGCTGCAGCTGCTTGTCATGGAACAACTCCAGGTTTTTCTACTTTCTTCTTCCAAATACGCCATTCAATATTCTTAATGTCAATTTAAAACAAATCTCGCATTTTGGGAGCAGATTTGTTTGTATGTTTTTTTTGTTTTTTTTGTTTAACGCCGCACTCAGCAATATTCCAGTTATGTGACGTCAGTCTGTAAATAATCGAGTCTGGACCACACATTCCAGTGATTGACATAATGAGCATCGATCCACGCAATTTGGATCATGTATCAACCAAGTCAGCGAGCCTGACCCCCCGATCCTGTTAGTCGCCTCTTACGACAAGCATAGTCGCCGTTTTCAGCAAGAATGGGTTGATCTTCACAGGCACTCAGGGAGCTGAGACTAGTTGTTGAGTGCACCTTGGTCCATTGACCAGGGTAATAAGTGTGCTTTAAGCAACCACTCAGTGGATGGAAAGAGCACTTAAAAATGCACTTATTATTATTAATGATCATAGGATAGTTGGACAGGTAAAACAAAATCCAGGCTTACTCATTTTTTATTCAGACAATAGTGACACAGTTTGTCTTGAAACCTTTTTTTTGCTTCTTATATTCTGTGTTACTCCTAAGAGAGTTATTTTAAAAAAACATAACAATCCTTCATGAAATGACCGCCTCAGTGGTCTAGTGGTAGAGCGTCCGCCCGGAGAGTGGAAGACCCGGGGTTTGATCCCCGGCCACAGCATACCAAAAGATGGTACTTGTTGTTACCCTGTCTGGCACTCGGCATTAAGGGGCTAAAACAAGGACTGGTTGGCTCGGAGTCAGTATACCATGTCCGAGTGGGGTATTCATGTTAAACTGCGGCATGCTCTCTCAGTGTGCTAGCACTATAAATCGGCATCATTCCAGACACACACACATGCATGCACATCGCTATATAAGTGCAATAATCTTGGACGTGATGTCAAACCCAATTTTACCACACCTCACCTTCAGTAATATCTATCCTTAGTTTCCCTTGCGTGGCATAAGAGGTGACAGAAAGGAGATTTATTCATACATGTTGATGTCACATGAGCTGATGACTGGAAGTGTGAAGACCAACTCCCAGCTGTGACTTGGCTGATTGTGTCCCTACGCTGTGACAGTGTCAATCCACCTGCAACATCAGTGATGTGACCTATAACCTATGCTGTTACCATGGTTACAGAGTTCACCCTCCAATGATAGCTGTTGGCAGTGACGACCCTAACCCTGCTGCTGGTGCAAAGGTCCACATCTACGAGTACAATGATAATGCGAGGTGAGTCAGGCTAATGGATTGAATGCAGTAAAATTGCAATGGTTTGGAACACTTTGGCATAAAACATAATGTTATCATTCTATTCTGTTTTTATGTTCTATTTGTGAATATTTGGTGATGTATAAATTAATAAAAAAGAACTTACTGCTATTAAAAAACAATATTAAAATTTAAATGATAAACAACAGTTTACTGCAGATCTTTAATCTTTAATCTTTAATCATGTTAATAGTTCAGTCATTCCCCCTGTCGGTACTTATGATATCATGAAGTGTTTTCTTAAAGCCCTAGTCTCAGTGTAGAGCCCTAGTCTCAGTGTAGAGCCCTAGTCTCAGTGTAGAGCCCTAGTTTCAGTGTAGAGCCCTAGTCTCAGTGTAGAGCCCTAGTCTCAGTGTAGAGCCCTAGTCTCAGTGTAGAGCCCTAGTCTCAGTGTAGAGCCCCAGTCTCAGTGTAGAGCCCTAGTCTCAGTGTAGAGCCCTAGTCTCAGTGTAGAGCCCTAGTTTCAGTGTAGAGCCCTAGTCTCAGTGTAGAGCCCCAGTCTCAGTGTAGAGCCCTAGTCTCAGTGTAGAGCCCTAGTCTCAGTGTAGAGCCCTAGTCTCAGTGTAGAGCCCTAGTCTCAGTGTAGAGCCCTAGTCTCAGTGTAAAGTCCCAGTCTCAGTGTAGAGCCCTAGTCTCAGTGTAGAGCCCTAGTCTCAGTGTAGAGCCCTAGTCTCAGTGTAAAGTCCCAGTCTCAGTGTAGAGCCCTAGTCTCAGTGTAGAGCCCTAGTCTCAGTGTAAAGCCCTAGTCTCCGTGTAGAGCCCTAGTTTCAGTGTAGAGCCCTAGTTTCAGTGTAGAGCCCTAGTCTCCGTGTAGATCCCTAGTCTCCGTGTATAGCCCTAGTCTCAGTGTAGAGCCCCAGTCTCAGTATAAAGCCCTAGTCTCAGTATAAAGCCCTAGTTTAGGTGTAGAGCCCTAGTTTCAGTGTAGAGCCCTAGTCTCAGTGTAGAGCCCAAGTCTCAGTATAAAGCCCTAGTTTAGGTGTAGAGCCCTAGTTTCAGTGTAGAGCCCTAGTCTCAGTGTAGAGCCCTAGTCTCAGTATAAAGCCCTAGTTTCAGTGTAGAGCCCTAGTCTCAGTGTAGAGCCTAAGTCTCAGTGTAGAGCCCTAGTCTCAGTGTAAAGCCCTAGTCTCTGTGTAAAGCCCTAGTCTCCGTGTAGATCCCTAGTCTCCGTGTAGAGCCCTAGTCTCAGTGTAGAGCCCTAGTCTCAGTGTAGAGCCCTAGTCTCTGTGTAAAGCCCTAGGATCCGTGTAGATCCCTAGTCTCCGTGTAGAGCCCTAGTCTCAGTGTAGAGCCCTAGTCTCAGTGTAGAGCCCTAGTCTCAGTGTAGAGCCCTAGTCTCTGTGTAAAGCCCTAGGATCCGTGTAGATCCCTAGTCTCCGTGTAGAGCCCTAGTCTCAGTGTAGAGCCCTAGTCTCAGTGTAAAGCCCTAGTCTCAGTTTAGAGCCCTAGTCTCAGTGTAAAGCCCTAGTCTCAGTGTAGATCCCTACACACTAGCCTCACTGGTTCATTAAAGCCTGAGTCGCCCTGTTTCCATGTATCTCCTTATGTTTCAGGAAATGGAACAAAGTGGAGAGTTTATCCATGGTCACAGACCCCGTCCATGATGTTGCCTTCGCTCCGAACCTGGGGCGGTCGTACCACCTGTTGGCAATCGCTGCCAAGGATCTCAAGATTATTTCTCTGAAGCCACTGAGGAAGGATGTTTCTTTAGGAGCACAAGCCAGCCTGACGAAGTTTGAGATGAGACAAGTGGCAAGCTTCAGTGACCATGAGTCTCAGGTATACTGCAACATTATTCAACGTCACTGAGAAGACTGGGGGTGGGTGGGGGTTTGTGGAGAGCTGGGATTTTATCAGGGCAGACACATCACAAGGCAACCTTATGTCATGCTAGACCAGGTCACAGACACATCACAAGACAACCCTATTATGTCATGCTAGACCAGAGAACAGACACATCACAAGACAACCCTATTATGTCAAGCTAGACCAGGGCACATCACTAAGACAATTATCTGTCATGCTAGACCAGGGCACATCACTAAGACCGTTATCTGTCATGCTAGACCAGGGCACATCACTAAGACTGTTATCTGTCATGCTAGACCAGGGCACATCACTAAGACTGTTATCTGTCATGCCAGATCAGGGCACATCACTAAGACTGTTATCTGTCATGCTTGACCAGGGCTCATCACTAAGACTGTTATCTGTCATGCTAGACCAGGGCACATCACAAAGACTGTTATCTGTCATGCTAGACCAGGGCACATCACTAAGACTGTTATCTGTCATGCTAGACCAGGGCTCATCACTAAGACTGTTATCTGTCATGCTAGACCAGGGCACATCACTAAGACTGTTATCTGTCATGCCAGACCAGGGCTCATCACTAAGACTGTTATCTGTCATGCTAGACCAGGGCTCATCACTAAGACTGTTATCTGTCATGCTGGACCAAGGCTCATCACTAAGACTGTTATCTGTCATGCTAGACCAGGGCACATCACTTAGACTGTTATCTGTCATGCCAGATCAGGGCTCATCACTAAGACTGTTATCTGTCAAGCTAGACCAGGGCACATCACTAAGACTGTTATCTGTCATGCTAGACCAGGGCTCATCACTAAGACTGTTATCTGTCATGCTAGACCAGGGTTCATCACTAAGACTGTTATCTGTCATGCTAGACCAGGGCACATCACTAAGATTGTTATCTGTCATGCTAGACCAGGGCACATCACTTAGATGGTTATCTGTCATGCTAGACCAGGGCTCATCACTAAGACCGTTATCTGTCATGCTAGACCAGGGTTCATCACTAAGACCGTTTTCTGTCAAGCTAGACCAGGGCTCATCACTAAGACTGTTATCTGTCATGCTAGACCAGGGCTCATCACTAAGACTGTTATCTGTCATGCTGGACCAAGGCACATCTCTAAGACTGTTATCTGTCATGCTAAACCAGGGCTCATCACTAAGGCTGTTATCTGTCATGCTAGACCAGGGCACATCACTAAGACTGTTATCTGTCATGCCAGATCAGGGCACATCACTAAGACTGTTATCTGTCATGCTTGACCAGGGCTCATCACTAAGACTGTTATCTGTCATGCTAGACCAGGGCACATCACAAAGACTGTTATCTGTCATGCTAGACCAGGGCACATCACTAAGACTGTTATCTGTCATGCTAGACCAGGGCTCATCACTAAGACTGTTATCTGTCATGCTAGACCAGGGCACATCACTAAGACTGTTATCTGTCATGCCAGACCAGGGCTCATCACTAAGACTGTTATCTGTCATGCTAGACCAGGGCTCATCACTAAGACTGTTATCTGTCATGCTGGACCAAGGCTCATCACTAAGACTGTTATCTGTCATGCTAGACCAGGGCACATCACTTAGACTGTTATCTGTCATGCCAGATCAGGGCTCATCACTAAGACTGTTATCTGTCAAGCTAGACCAGGGCACATCACTAAGACTGTTATCTGTCATGCTAGACCAGGGCTCATCACTAAGACTGTTATCTGTCATGCTAGACCAGGGTTCATCACTAAGACTGTTATCTGTCATGCTAGACCAGGGCACATCCCTAAGATTGTTATCTGTCATGCTAGACCAGGGCACATCACTTAGATGGTTATCTGTCATGCTAGACCAGGGCTCATCACTAAGACCGTTATCTGTCATGCTAGACCAGGGTTCATCACTAAGACCGTTTTCTGTCAAGCTAGACCAGGGCTCATCACTAAGACTGTTATCTGTCATGCTAGACCAGGGCTCATCACTAAGACTGTTATCTGTCATGCTGGACCAAGGCACATCTCTAAGACTGTTATCTGTCATGCTAAACCAGGGCTCATCACTAAGGCTGTTATCTGTCATGCTAGACCAGGGCACATCACTTAGACTGTTATCTGTCATGCCAGATCAGGGCTCATCACTAAGACTGTTATCTGTCAAGCTAGACCAGGGCACATCACTAAGACTGTTATCTGTCATGCTGGACCAGGGCTCATCACTAAGACTGTTATCTGTCATGCTAGACCAGGGCACATCACTTAGACTGTTATCTGTCATGCCAGATCAGGGCTCATCACTAAGACTGTTATCTGTCAAGCTAGACCAGGGCACATCACTAAGACTGTTATCTGTCATGCTAGACCAGGGCTCATCACTAAGACTGTTATCTGTCATGCTAGACCAGGGCTCATCACTAAGACTGTTATCTATCATGCTAGACCAGGGCTCATCACTAAGACTGTTATCTGTCATGCTGGACCAAGGCACATCACTAAGACTGTTATCTGTCATGCTAAACCAGGGCTCATCACTAAGGCTGTTATCTGTCATGCTAGACCAGGGCACATCACTTAGACTGTTATCTGTCATGCCAGATCAGGGCTCATCACTAAGACTGTTATCTGTCAAGCTAGACCAGGGTTCATCACTAAGACCGTTTTCTGTCAAGCTAGACCAGGGCTCATCACTAAGACTGTTATCTGTCATGCTAGACCAGGGCTCATCACTAAGACTGTTATCTGTCATGCTGGACCAAGGCACATCACTAAGACTGTTATCTGTCATGCTAAACCAGGGCTCATCACTAAGGCTGTTATCTGTCATGCTAGACCAGGGCACATCACTTAGACTGTTATCTGTCATGCCAGATCAGGGCTCATCACTAAGACTGTTATCTGTCAAGCTAGACCAGGGCACATCACTGAGACTGTTATCTGTCAAGCTAGACCAGGGCACATCACTGAGACTGTTATCTGTCATGCTAGACCAGGGCTCATCACTAAGACTGTTATCTGTCATGCTAGACCAGGGCTCATCACTAAGACTGTTATCTGTCAAGCTAGACCAGGGCACATCACTAAGACTGTTATCTGTCATGCTAGACCAGGGCTCATCACTAAGACTGTTATCTGTCATGCTAGACCAGGGCACATCACTAAGACTGTTATCTGTCATGCTAGACCAGGGCACATCACTAAGACTGTTATCTGTCATGCTAGACCAGGGCTCATCACTAAGACTGTTATCTGTCATGCTAGACCAGGGCTCATCCCTTAGACTGTTATCTGTCATGCTAGACCAGGGCTTATAGACCATGAAGCGTTTATTGATCTGGGGCATAGGTGGCCTAGTCCTCTATGGCACCATATTCAATGTGCAGAGCCGCATCTGTGAATCATGCCAGAATCTGATGATCAAGGGTTTAAATTTGCCCTGGTTACGATGGTTGGTGTGTCAGCATCTTGTTGTAGCCTTGTGTGAAACCTGATTCCCTCACCCAACTCTGAATGAATGTGTTCCAGGTATGGCGCGTTTCCTGGAACGTGACGGGTACAATTCTAGCATCGTCCGGAGATGATGGATGTGTCCGACTATGGAAAGGTAAGGCAGGTCTACAGATGCTAGCAGTGGGAAAACATACTCTATGTTCTCGGTACATTAAAGTGCTGATATACGGAGCTCCTGTGTAATATGGTGGCACGGGTGGCCCAATCGTGTGAGGCACCACAATTCGCTGTGCAGAGTTGTGTCCCTTGGGCATGCCAGAAACCACTGACCTGATCCTGGTTCGCCCCGATTATGTTTACAGGTTTTGGTCACCATACCCGTGCTAGTGGATTTCATCAACTGGTATTAAACCAAACTCACTCACTCACCCACCTAAGAAATGGTGGCTAAAAGACTTGGAAACCGTTACTAAGGAGCAAGCTTTTGTACAGTTGTTGCCAGTATAGTGAAAGATATTAGGTATTCTGTTTTCTTGACATTTTGTGTTGTAAGTCAAGATAGAGAAATTGGACCAAAGGACTTGTTTGTCTGAAAACAAGAGGGAAGTAAAGTGTGTTTCTTTATGCCCTTGGGGGTGATTGGTGTAGCCTAGTGGTTAAAGTGTTTGCTCATCACAACTACGACCCGGGTTCGTTTCCCCACATGGGTACAATGTGTCAAGCCCATTTCTGGTGTCACCCGCCGTGATTGCTGGAATATTGCTAAAAGCGGCGTAAAACCATTCTCACTCACTTTAGGCTGTGGATATTATGGTGTGCCATTGCTCATGCCCTCATTGGGTTGCCTAGATTATTGACAACAAGCTGCCCTCACAGCTGGAATATTGCTGACTGGTGTAAATAAAGCATTCATCCACTTACACACTCTGATTATTTCAAATGTTGATGTCATGCCTCGTGTTCCCCATTCAGCCAACTATCTGGACTCCTGGAAGAGTATCTCAGTCATGAAGGGAGATGGATCGCCACAAGACTCCGCTCGCAACCTCAGCAACATGCCGCAAGCAATGTCCGTTTCCAACGGCAACAGTGAAGGCGTCAGGTATTTTAGAGCTGCTCCAATCAGCTCGGCCAATCAGGTTGTCTGGCACTAGGGGAAGATTACTCTGACAATGCAATCCAAAGTTCATATTCTGTCAGTTTGTTGAGAGAAATTTCATGGAAGCAGGTTCACAACAGTTGAAGTGTCCCATGATAGCTGAAATTGTTGTGTGACAGTGAATGATGTAGACTGTGATCAGCATCTGGAAGATGATGCTACAGCCAGGTATCCAGTTCCAACGATGCGTGAAGTGTTATTTATGCTGGGAGGTCTTGACTGTATCTTCACATTTAGGAGTCTAATTTCAAACCATGACCCTAAAGATCATTTGCATCTTGACAAATTGTGACATATCTTAGTCACAGGTAAATGTCCCGCCGTGATATTCATGATTATTGTCATACCTTGTCTCATACTGCCATCTTTCTACCCAGGTTATTAAAAGAGCTGTTAGTAAACAGTTGGGGATCCTATTGCTAGGGTATCTCCTGCACTGTAGTGGGAAGGTTAGTGTTTAGCTTTAGTTGACAGAGTTATGTCCCCATAACTGACATCGCCACGTCACCTTATTTCATTGTACACATTCGTAGACTCTACTTTTAGGGGTAGTATTCCACACCAAAGAGAAAACTATTAAAACAAATCAAAAGGATATAAAGGATGCTTGTGTTTATTTTTGTAATCTATTAATGACTAAACATTCCTGTTTTCCCAAGTTCTGTTAGTTGTTTATGACGGGAACTTTAATCTCATCATGCAAGGGACATTGTATTAATTTATACAATTTCAAAGATGGGTATAATTTTTATGTGAAAATAAATTAGTTTGCTAAAGAATATATATCGGTAGATTTCATTACATCAACAAGTGGAATACAAGTTTACACAAGACGTTTCATTGTTACATAAACTGTTACTCTAGACTGAGGTGCTTTGAAATTGCAAGAGGGCCGATTTGTCATTATGAATAAACCAAGAGGACTTCTGTCTTGAACTATATATGGAAGATTATGCTTTGGGATAGTTTGTCTTCAACCGGTTGACTCTCAGAGAAGTATTTATAGAAGCACCAGTTGGAATCAGTGCTATTAAAGATGTGTTTAGGAACACGTATTCAAACCATTTGAATCTTAAGAATCATGGACTTTTGAGACCATGTGTTCTTCTGTGTAGTGTGTATTTGATATGACATTGCTAGGGTGAGATCCAAATAGATTCTTCAGTAGCCTCATTGAACAAGTCATTTAAAAAAATACCATGTAATTGAAATTTTCACTGAAGTGGAAATACATATTTAGTGACTGAATAATTTCTTTGGTGTCCCATTTTGGTTAATTTTTAGTTGTCAATCAATATCATCAATTTTTATACTACATGTACGTGTATATGGAATCTAATTTTCCAGGTTTGGGGTTTTAGGCAGTGAAAGAAATTTTGCCAACCTTGAGGAGCATGTTAATTGTGGAGTGTGTTATAGTGAAGCATTGGCTCAGGCTTGAAATACCCCACATTGGTGCCATGTTTGCAGCTGTTTCCTGGAGTCCTCCATGATATTGCTGGAATATTGCCAAAAGCGGCTTCCAATGATTCAGCTTATCTTGTACATCCATTTAAACAGAAATAGGGAACATTTAAACAAATATGTTTGTCATCTGAATTACTCTATGCAGTGCCATATCATGAACTAACTCACTGATGCCATACAGTTTCCCAGTTTTATGCCGTACAGCATAGTCTTATGTTCTACGCCAATAAACCTTTTACTCTTTTGTCATTTTCAAGCAAGCAAACTAGTCTTACATATGCACATTTAGTACTTTCTAGTCTTTCGATAATGATTATTTCAAATTAGATGTTTTTTTACACATTACCAAAAATGTATGTTTAACATAATGTCCCATTTTTGTCCAAATTTGAAGACATTTATATGATGTGAATTTCTTTCCTTAGTGGTGTGTGTGTCATTGTTCAGACTACCATTCCTTGTTCAGTGCAGATAATGCTAATGGAGTGTCAGGTGTGTCATACCTTTGTATCATTGAGGAGATATGTATTCAGCTTTGTAGTGGACATACACTTGCCACTCGTCCTGTATTTCAATACAGCTGATGTCAAATTTGGAATTAAAAGTTACCGGTCGAATTTCTGCCTCTGTTATTTGTGCATCAGTGAGTTGGTGAGTGTGGCATTGTGTTACAGTGAGAGATGACAGACATGCCTACCATTTTGGGAGTGTGTTGAGGTTACGAGAGGTGGCTGAAAGTTCTGAGTTTATCTACGAAGGATGTATAGTACACAGTTTGCATGTACTTAGCACACTACATTACATGTACTCAGTACACTACGTTACATGCTTACAGGGGTGGTCGGGTAGCCTAGTGGTTAAAGCGTTCGCTCGTCACGCCGAAGACCCGTGTTTGATTCCCCACATGGGTACAATGTCTGAAGCCCATTTCTGGTGTCCCCCGCTGTGATATTGCTGGAATATTGCTAAAAGCAGTGTAAAAACCATACACACACACATGCGTACAGGCTGCATTTGAGCCAAACACAACCAGGCAGCATATGATTAGGTATTCTCTGTTGTTGAAAGTGGACACAGTTGTCTACCACGTTGTCATCAAGTATCTCCAACTGAAAGGGCTGACTCCAACAGCGATCCATGTGGACGTGGTCTGAGATGACAATGCTCCTTCCTTTGCCAGTATTGGATGGTGGGCAGCGGAGTTCAAGTGTATTCTCTTCAATTCCTCATATGGATTTAACGAGTTCTTTATACCGGTAACTGGAATATTGCTAAAAGTGGCGGGAAAATAAACAACTCGCGTCTTTCAAACTTGTCAGGAATTGTTGTTGTGGATGAGTTGGGTTCTATGCCACTTTGAATAGTATTTGTTCCATAATGGTACTTAATGAGGAGAGAAATCTCGAAGTGATGCGGGTCTTTGATGTTCACCACTTTGGTTAAACCAATTTATGGTGCAGACAAACCAAGAATCATAATCAAAACAAACCTGGATTTAAACCCATAACTGTTATATTTTGTCACAGTGAATTGTGGGGTCCTAGATGGCTGGGACACCCCTGCCCACTGTTAATGCGCATGTGCAAGGTTAATACAGGCTTGAAAAGGCCTTAATGTTAAGGTCCTTGAAAAGGCCTTAATGTTAAGGTCCTTCTTGAAAAGGCCTTGAATGTTAAGGTCCTTCTTGAAAAGGCCTTGAATGTTAAGGTTTTGATTTATTTTATTGGCTAGGTTCGTCAGCACCATACCTGTGCTCGTAGGTTTCACCAATGTGATAAACGTCTGAGACCTGCATCGCTTGTCACTTCCAAATCCAGCTGACATGCCATGAAAATACTGAAATACTGTTCAGTGCGGTGTTAAGCCGAACTCAATCACACTGTGACAATTGTTTATGTTCAGTACTTGTATCAGTGAGAGCATGGGGCGGAACTAGATATGGTAGACATGGCAGTGAAAAATAATAAACAGTGAAAAATACTTAATATTCTAGGTTTTACCCAGAGCAAGAGTCAGACGTTATATATGTAGAATTTTTATATTATGTTGTCCCCTAGCTAATTGATGATTTGGCATATTGTTGCACACAGAAATTAAAGGAACCTCGCCTACAGTAAGACTGAAAGTTGCACCGATGAGTAGGACTGCATGGTGTTACTGGTATACGGCCATATTGTGTCTGTGTTCCCGTACATTGGGTAAAACAAATGTACCAAGTCTAGTTATTATCTGTATCGCTACACTAACATCTACACAGAAACTCATTCACAAATGATGTTTCCCTTCAAAATGATGACAAAGCATGGAAATGCGAAGTGTTATCTCCCTTGTATGGTTCCTGTAACCATGACTACAAAATGTCTGTAGAAAACAGGATCTGTGTGTACAGTCAGTGTCAAGCACTGTCATACAATCTGCATTTGTAATACATATCAATACAGATACCTGTTTCACAATCTATTCCAATATAATGTTTTGGCCAATACTCAACTCTACTAATGAGAATCCGAAATTGGAAATTTCATTCAGAATCTAGCAAGTAGTAGTTTATCTGCTGTCAGAGTTATCTTCTTTGAGTCTGCCCTTGTTTCTGCATGTATTATACATTGTAACGTCAAGGTCTGTGGAATAGGGTCTTATGGCATGCAGTTAAATCTCTTGCGGTATAATAGTGAATTGTTATAACCAGGAGAGAAATTATTTCAAGTATTTTCTGCCAAACTGAGATGGCAGCAGGTCAGTAAGCCTTCAACATCTTGTTCAAGGTGGTGGGTGGACTGAGGCTCTGGTGGACGTACTGTTCGATGAGTAGAACAAAGATGACCAACACGGTGACTGACTTTTCCACACCACCAATACTTGTCATAGAGAGAGTTCAGATTTCATTGATGTTCACAACCGCTGATATGTTGCTGACTATATGACACAACCGATATGTTGCTGACTATATGACATGACCAATATGTTGCTGAATTTATGACACGACCGATATGTTGCTGACTATATGACATGACCAATATGTTGCTGACTTTATGACACGACCGATATGTTGCTGACTATATGACATGACCAATATGTTGCTGACTATATGACACGACTGATATGTTGCTGACTATATGACCGATATGTTACTGACTATATATGACTGATATGTTGATAACTATATGACATGACCAATATGTTGCTGACTATATGACACGACTGATATGTTGCTGACTATATGACCGATATGTTACTGACTATATATGACTGATATGTTGATAACTATATGACATGACCAACATGTTGCTGACTATATGACACGACTGATATGTTGCTGACTATATATGGACTGATGCATTTCTGACTATGACATATATTCTATGACCGATATGTTGCTGACTATGTGATATGATTAATATGTTGCTGAGCATACATGACCGATATGTTGCTGACTATATAGTACCGATATGTTGCTGACTGTATATGACTGATATGTTGCTGACTGTATATGACTGATATGTTGCTGACGATATGACACGACCGATATGTTGCTCACTCATACAATTCCATATTCCAGGGCACCCCCTCCTGGATCCATGAACATCAAGCGCCTCAGCAACTGGCCCTTCACGTCCGTGCAGAAAGACCAGGCCAAGCTCTTCTACTGACAAGGCCACAATACTACCTCATCCTACTTATACATGCCTATCTTCAGAAGAATGATATTATGGTTTGGACAATATTGCCTCAGTATTAAGCATGTAGGCACTGGTTTATTTTATCAGGCTATGTTTGTGATCTAGCACATTTCAAAGGAGAGCAGTATATTTTTGTGTAGAAAGTTCAATGATCATGTAAGGGCAGGCTTTAGGTAGGAACATCAGTTTGATAGTTTATCAGTTTTGTTTGCCACTTCCTCCTTTGATGAGGATAATAAAAAACACTCGGCATGATAGTCTTCCATGTTCATTGAAGATGAGATAAACCACTCGGCATGTGTGTGGTGGGTTCAGACAGTCTTCCATGTTCAGTGAAGATGAGATACACCACTGGTTGTGTTAGGTGGGTTCAGATAGTCTGCTATGCATGTTTAGTGCAGCAGGTTTAGCTCAGGGTGCTGTGTGCGTTACATTGTTATTTTCACACTGGAAGCACTGATGTTATTATTTTGTTTGTAGGACAATGGTATTTTTTGTTATTTTGAAGTGAATTGAAAGCTTGCTATTTTTATAAGAAAATCTATCATCAGAATTGTACATCTGATTTTATCTGTCATGCCACAGTAGGACCATTTGTATTCAGTATTATTCATGGCCCTTGTAGTCATGGTAAAGGTGGGCCGGCTCCTTGGGGTGGTGTTCCCGCTGATAGACGACTCCAGCAATAAATCGTACACCTTTTATCCTAGTGAAACTAAAGCAGGTTTATCCTTGTGAAACTGAAGAGATTTTATGCTTGTGAAACTCAAACAGATTGGAATCATTGTTAACCTAAAGCAAATTTTATCCTAGTGAAGCTGAAACAGATTTTATCATTGCAAAAAGTAAAGCAGATTTTAGACTTGTGAAACTAAAGCAGATTTTATCCTAGTGAAACTAAAGCAGATTTTATCTTAGTGAAACTAAAACAGATTTTACCCTAGTGAAACTAAAACAGGTTTTATCCTTGTGAAACTAAAGTCCATTTTATCCTAGTGAAACTAAAGCAGGTTTTTTCCTTGTGAAACTAAAACAGGTTTTATCCTTGTGAAACTAAAGCCAATTGTATCCCGGGGAAACTAAAACAGGTTCTATCCCTGTCCACACCCACACAATCACCCCCTCCAACGTCTGATGTAAATAGTTGTATATCATGTTCCGAACATATAACCTGTGCATCCCCTCCACTGTTCTATCTAACAGAAATTCATTTATCAGTATTTAAAGAATTCTTTGACTCTCCCCAAAATTGCATGTTTATATATACATATATATATATATATATATATATATATATATATATATATATATATATATATATATATATATATAAAGAGTTAAAGATATATATTCAACTTGAAGTCTGCAGCAAGTGTCAATCTTGTCTTTGCTTTTGACAGTGGACCTTTGAAAAAACAAGACCTTCCACTTCTCAGTAGATCCTAGTTTCTATGGCCTTACATATCTGGGTTCATTGTACAAAGCCATCTTAGCGCTAAGCTGATCATAACTCCCATACCTTAACATGTACTTACAGCAGTAGTAGTGCTAAGACAATCATAACCCCAATACCTTAACATAGACCTACATCAGTCGTAGCGCTAAGACAATTGTAACTCCAATACCTTAACATAGACTTACAAGAGTCATAGCGCTAAGACATTCGTAACTCCAATACCTTAACATAGACTTACAGCAGTCGTAGCGCTAAGACAATCGTAACTCCAATACCTTAACATAGACTTCTACAGTCGTAGCGCTAAGACAATCGTAACTCCACTACCTTAACACAGGCTTACAGCAGTCATGCTTCTGTTTCTCTTTATAATTAGTTTTGTCCGAAAATGATAACAATCCAGTTTTGGATTCATACAAGATCATTATAAGTATTATTTGACATTTAATCAGCGTTAGTTTCATCAGTGTGTAGACACTATTTCCAGGTGGCACAAAGGAAAAGCTATATATCTATTTGTGATATTTGTGTTGCTAGGCCATTCACTACCTTTTTCAAATTTATGACTGTGGGATATTTATATTTATACTCATATGCCGTGAAACAATTTCAGCACATCATTCAGGGGTATTTAACACATTCAGTTTTAATTTACGATACTTTATAAATCTTCTGGTACTAATTTCTTTCAGTGCGAATATGTCAGTAAGACACCGATTTCTGTATAAATCTGTGATAGTGCGTAGAGATCTGTATAGAAATACAAGTGCAATATTTGATCATATGTTTTAACAGTCATTCACCAGGTGGAGACCAGACATTGCCCCTGCTTGTCTACTAAATGAGTATTCCGTGGTCACAATGGTTGCTAGGTATGACTGTGAACCTGGTGATCACCAGGATGACCAACCTGTAGTTCATTGTGTGTCTCCCTATGGCTGTCATTGATTTATACATCAAGAACGTTAATCAAAGACGAAAGTCGAAGTCCTGTATTTGCTCAAACACTTCCACATGTATGACTGGTTATGTGTGTTGTATACTCTGATTGTTATGTCACAATACTACTGTGTCATCAGCATTGTCTTTATTGTTGTACCATGGTGAATCAGTGTTACTACTGCCAGCAATATCAGATACTGTCTTCCTGTTCCCATACTTTACAACCTGCTGCAACATTATACAATATAGCCTTGTAGAAATAATTCTTTAACATAAAGCGTTGTTTGATGTAGATCAGACACACTAGTCAGAAATGTTTGTTTTTATATGATTTGATTCAGCTTTCTGGGTAGGAGATTCATTGGATTCATGATACCGAGACATATTTATATTATTGTAGTCTAGGCTTTGATAAACACTGGATTCTGTTTTTTGTAACTCGGCCATAAGAAAAACTTATGAGCTTTCTCTTCAATTTACCTCTATCAAACAAGACTGACAACAGTGTTTGAGAATTGAATCGGGCATGTGGCGTCACACTTGGAAGTTATTATATTTTGATTTAAAAACACACAGAACCATCAACGTATTGTCCCTTCAATGTCCCTTTAATGGCTTCTGATTAGACAATCCTGACATGGGTACAATGTGTGAAGCCCATTTCTGATGTCCCCCGCTGTGATATTACTGGAATATTTCTGAAAGCGGCGTAAAACCATACTCAGTCAGTCAGTCTGATAAGACAAGGAAGGATAACTCTTTTTGACACAAGACCTGTAGGATGAGAAACATTTTTTACAAAACCTTTTAGACCAAAACAATAGGTATTGTTTGGAGCAGAACCATGCACAAGGCAGACAGAGACTGTTATTTTCAGAACCTTCCCTGTTCTATAGATATATTTTTATTTTTTTTGGATCAGCTTGTAAAAACAGTTTTGTCAAAGTCTTATCCATTCCTGCTTCTCTTTGCTCACAAGTTCCCAATACTTCCATGTCATGTTGATGGATACTGGATCTCATGGAAACAAGCTTGAAACTATTACCCTTTCTGTAGTGATGTACCCAGTAGGTTGTTTGTTATAGCAGTGTTTATGATTGAGGCCATGAAAAATCAGATATTGTTTGCAGGGATTACTACTTTCTTCTTTCTCAAATTTGAAATTTCGTTTTGCAGTGTAGTAATTTCTAATTTTGAAAAGATAAATATCTTAGGCTTCATGTGAAACATTTCTTGCAAATGGATTAGGCAAAGATAAACTCTACAATAAGTCTCCAAAAAGGTAAAAACACATGACATATACAACATGCGATCTGTTGAGATTTTATCGTAGTAGAGAAATCTGAAGAACAGAACATGGTTTGATGTGGCCTTATAGTCAGTATTTCCAGCAACTTATGCCCAAAAGGAAATATTTTTAAAATTTAATTTCGAATTCCAAATTGTAACATGTTTTCATGTGTGTCTTGATCTGTCAAATGCTTGCCATGTAGAAGACGGACAGTTTGTGCCTGCTTCGTTGTGGCCCGGACTTACCCGTTTTTGACGTACCTCTCTAAACGGAGAAGCCACATGAACTGGTGCTGCTGGGCGGCCAAGTGGGTCATGTGTTTACCTTTCAGCTGAAGACTCAAGGTTGATTTTGTACATGTATACAATTTATGAAGTCCTATTTGTGTTGTATATATGACCTCTAGGGCTTAATGGTTTATGTGACAAACTGTTTATAATTGTTGTGTTTGAGGGAGGAGGAATCCGTGAGGCGGCCATTATTGCGTTTCTCTCTTGTGTTGCAATGTGGAGTACAGGATAGAATCAAAATACTCAGAACCTGTTGGTGTCAAAAGCTGTGAGCTGAAGGATTACTAATGCTCACGATTTAACTGGGTGTCATTTAACACACAGCCTGGACAAATTCTTTCCATAAGGCTTCCTTCATGTATTGAAAGTAAAGAAAGAAGACCAAATGTATGCTTCCGTTAAATAGTGGCCTTTTTCAAACTGACGTTCATAGATGTTCAATCATGTTATTCAACCCTATCCTTCTCATCCCACCTGCATTTTGTAACTTCTTGAAACTGTAAAAGAAATTAAATTATTCTGACCTAAAAAGGTTCAGGATGCCCCTATAGTTATCAATTTCTACAATAAATGGGATGCTGCTCATGTTCTAAGTCACAAAATGTGTTTTGCTGTGTATTCTATTTTGCAGTAGACACTCGTTTACGGATGTGTTGTTTAAAAAAGATCCTAATTTCTGTCAGTAATTCTGTCATAACTAAACAAAAACCTGCACATTTAGGTACTTCCATCTCTAGCCTATTCAATGTTGTTTGTCTGATTCAGTATCGTTATAGGAAACGATTCACATTCACTTTCTCTTTTACCTGTCCTCAAATGGTTTGATATGAAATTGTGTGTGTCACTTTCAGCCTTTGATAATCGTCATCACTAAGATTTGACATAAATGATAAACCCTTCAGGTTTCCAGTATATTGAGGGCCACATTACCTGTGGACACTTCTTCCAGTTATCTTGCTGCTGACGAGTTGTTGGAACTTGTTTCCAGTTCAGTTAGTGACAAGAAATTGGTTTGCTTTTCTCTTTAATGGTAGCTGAAGCATGGCCTGGGTGTTCAGTGTAACCAATTGTACATCATTGTTGAATATAGAGAATCTCACCCGAGGGTCTTTTGATATCAGATATATCAACGAGTGTTGATATATTTGATATCAAAAGACATGAGGGTGAGATTTTATTTATCATCCAACATCATTCTTCCAACTTTTTCAGTTTGTAGACAGTAGTAAGCAGTGTCTTAAGTGTAAAAAGTACTGCTAACAGCTTCAGTAGCAGAGCCATTAGTGACGTCACAATGGTCTGCAAAGATGGAGTGTGTAGATCTCGCCCAAGCGACATCTCCTGTGGGAGCCAGTTTTGGACGATAAAATATGATTAGCCTCTCACTGTACTGAATTGTATATTATGTAACATTCCTATGAATAGAGCCTCTTGAACATAATAAATCTATTTCAATACATCTCATGCTTCTTTAATTGAATTGGAATATCTGGTATCTATAAGCTACGTCTTTGGATCCAGATTTGGCCACTCTGAACTGTCAGCGTCATCATCTGGTCATCATATTCTTTTATAAAAGACAAAATTGTAGCACAGACATACCAAACTGCTAATATGTACTGGTACTACTCAAAAGAAGTTTAGGACCACATGATTCTTTCATATTACCAAAATCTGATGCGTGGTCCTTATCTTCTTTTGGGTAGCATAAGCAAGACCTACCCTGACAAACTCTTAAGGTATTGTGTCTATTTGCCACACATTAGGAAACTTCCAAAGATGTAAGATCTGTTTTCCTGCCTAAAGTCAACTGTTTCAACTACAGGAACAAAGGCATCCCTTGATGTTCCCTGCAGTTCCTTCGAGGGCCAGAAACATGATCCAATAGCACACTCAGCTGTCTGGTCCATTGGTAGAACAAAAAACAAGGAATATGATGTATTTAGTAAGAAATTGTTTTTATTTTACAATACAGACAATTGACACATGGTAGAGAAACCCCAGCAGCCGACTGCAGCTCGACTGTCCCACGGACTGGGAGTCTGTCAGACTACTCCAGCAAGCCAGTGAGCCCAGAGACATGTACCCGACATTTGGCTAAACCTATTGTTATTGCTGATCAACAGATCACAAAAAGGTCATTGAGCAGCCAAAGGCTAAATTCAGCCAATCATTGGAAAGTTTACTGAGGCCAAAGGCCAGATTCAGCCAATCAGGGGGAGTTTACAGAGCTATGCCAAAGGCCAGATTCAACCAGTAGTTACAGATTTAATGAAGGCCAGAAGCAATATTACTCAATCATTGGAAAGTTTACAAAGGCCAGGTAACTGATTTAGCTGATCATGGGGAATTTTCTAAATTCAGCCAATCGGAGGTTAACAGCAACATGTAAAGCGCCACTTATTGTCAGACTGTGCTGCCCCCCAAACACTGTCAAGTCACGTAACTCAACATTAGAAGGCAGAAGAACTTGACCATTAATCACGTTAATGCAAGCCTGGGTATTTCTAATCACAACTAAAAGAAAAGAGTTAGATAAAATTGATTTTTTTTGGTCTTTTAAACAATTTCCAGATCCATGGCACTTGATAGTGGTAGAATTGTAAAAACAAACATGATTGAGATTACACCTGTTTCTAGTTTAAGATCAGAACCCAGTCTTGAGAATAGCCTTCCATTAACGCAGGGTGGAGTTACCTCCCTTTAACAGCAAGACGAATCTTGGAGCTGACTTTCAAAGATGGTAATGAGAAATGCATAATCAGCTAAACAAGTCAATGTTCCTTCAAACATAAACGTTATGAAAAAATAAAACTTTTCAGCTACGTCAACAGATACTATGCAGTTGTGATTAAAGCAAAAATTATAATAATAAAAACAAATCATCCAATGGCATTTCACTGGCAGGACTTGTACCTACTTGGAGCCAAGAATTGTGTGGGTATCACAAGAGGAACCGAGCTCCTCTCTGTCTTGATGAAAGAAACATTTAAACATAAGATATGATTCACCATTTCACGCAAGTAATGTACATGATAAAATCAACAGTAAGAGTTAATGGTAACAATCTGATACAGGTAGCTGTTATGTTTTGGCATTGAAAGTGGTGTCAAAGTCGGACCAGCTGAGGACTAGTTTTCATGCTATCCTCATGCAATATCAAAATGCTCCTTCCATACAGCTGGTGTTTACCCATAAACAAGGTATTGTAAACTTCTTGTATACGCAGCTGATGTGAAACTTTCTAAACTTACATTTGCCAAAACTCGAGTCAAAATTTTCGCAACTGTTCACACCACCTGAATCTGCCCATTTCATCAAATTGAAAAAAATAAAATCATTTAAAAAAAATGACCTTGATAAATCTCTCGAATAAGGTACAGTTAGAATTTCTGAAAAGATGGCATTTGAACTGTGTCTATCTAAACTGCTTGGTTATAATATTCCTTGTAGACAAATATTTCATCAACATCTAATTGGGCCACCCTAGGAATGACAATGTTTTCTTTTACAAATGAAATTTCGCTTCATGTGATCGGGTGAGCAATCAGCCACAGATGTTGCGTCCAACACAAGATTGTCTGGTCTAATGTTAGAGATTGGAGATATAGGACAAACATAATTGGCCCTCGGTGAATTGTCCCATACATCGTAGCAGAGAGATAAGTGGGAACACGAATAGCACTCAATATTAATTGATTCTATTGTTGGCGGCCATGGCCGCACCAACGTCACGGATCTCATCACAGTCAGTTGCATAATGTAGACGGAGATGTAGATGTTTACAAAATGCCGCTGGCATCCTTGTACTGGCCATCACTGGCCAGTCGCCATGACGACAAGAATCGCTTGGCCAATCAGGTGCCAGTAACTATGGCGACAAAAACGCATGATAATAAGTGAAACACTAGTTTCCCTCTAGACGTGTGTGAACCTGGTATCTCCACGTAATTGTATATGTCAACTTCTTGGTCAAGATTATTTACATGCGTTTACACAAAAATTACTCCATACCATACATTTGGTGCGTTAAACAAACCACTTGTTGTGAAACAGAATTTGTACCAGATATGCACACAGTTATTTTCTTTTACTGAAACTTTTTTCAAGGACAAGCTGTATAAACAAAGTCAATTTAAAACATTCTCAACAATTCTGAAGTTTCAAGACCTTGAACATTTACATTTACTTGAACTTTTCCGGTCAGCAACGAGGCCGAGCAAAATATATCTGGTAAAACTAGTAAAACACCAAGAACAAAACAGTCCATCAGTTTCATTGTATGTTGGCTATTCTCGCAGTAATTCTTGATAAAATGTATGTAAAAGTCTCCGGTCAAGAAGATATAAAACATTAATCATCAAGCACAAAATTCATAGTAAATAAATAAATAATGTGTTTGTTGTGCTGTACTGTAACAACAGTATCCTTTACGCAGCGGCGGCGGCGGCAGCGGCAACATCGACGGCTGTGGAAGGAAGGTAATACACAGCCAACAATAACAACAAATCTTCACAGCTTTTCGCATCAATATGGATATGTACATTGTGTGATGTCAATGGATAAAATGTACCCTAGCAGTCTGCACAAGAACTGTCGGAGAGGACAGAGCATAATAACCAGGGACACTTCCAACAGGCTCGCAAAACTAGTGTCATATCTCGTGTTCAAAATCAAACAAATCACATAATTTCGGAAATCAAATCAAATCAGAGATAAATATCGTAGACACCAATGCCCTCCCTCTAGCTAACTTCTAATTAGTCCTCAGTACTTTGTTAAAAATATGGAGAAAATTAAAAGAAAATGATCAATCGAGAATAACAGTTGGATCTTGCTAACTGCCGTGATACAACTAGTGCACTTGATCCAGTTCGTACCACCGATGCACGAGAGGACACGGCGGTCAGTGCGGTCTACTTCAATCTAAAACACGCGTAAATACCCAGTGAAACAAGCATGGAATCTTCCAAGTACATATTTTTACAACTAATTTACAACTTAACAAAACATTAGGGCGGAGTAACACGATGATGGACCCTTCATTCCTCGATTTTGGCCTCACGCCAGCAGTGTTACAGACAGACGCGCATATGTACGTACGAACATACACGCGAACATGCACAGCGGCTCTGGATGACTGACCGACCAACTGATAGATAGATGGACGGACGGACACCCACAGGTAGCAAACGAAGTGCTCACAGAAGGTCAAGCGTAGTCATATACAGTACAAGTCATGTTCATACAAATACTTGTTTTGAAAAGAGTCAACATTATACACAAATATGCGACTCCAAATAACCAACTGACACCAAAGAAACAGTATGTTAGCAATCCACAGTCCGGTTGGACAAGAGTTCCTCATTCAGTCAGCTGATTGGACGATAGGTGCCGCCAGCAGTTGTCATAGAAACGGCTGCAGGTCATCCAAATATTACAATCAAACAAAATCTGCATATTGTGGTCTGGCCGCACATTGGCAGCAGACTGTTACAGCAAACACAGGAATCAGCCCATGTCAGTCACCGCAGATAGCTCGTCGCACGATGGCGGACGGTCGAGTCGTGGAGCCTGTGTTTGGCATATGTACGTACGCACTAGACAGTGATTGGTTGAATCCTCTTGCTGCTACATGGTAAAGCTCCACTGGAACACTCGCATAACAAAATTTGCTCCACTCCGCAAACATGGTCGCCGACTCGTAGACGAAAACAACTGCACTGATTGGACAAAATAAAGATAGACAGTGTGGTTTTGTATAGTACAAACACAGTGTTGTTCCTCCTGGTGCAAGTGTCGCTCACTCGCTCGCTCGCCTCACTTCGCTGCTAGCCGTAACACCAACTTCCTGTGGTCAACCAGGACACTAAGTACCACAGTTGGCGAGGTCACGTGATCACTTGTGACACGGCTCGAGCGAGGCGCAAGAGCTAGAGAGAGAGAGAGAGATAGGGTGACATGATTGAGTCCCTTGAAAGATGCAGTAGACATCATCACATCATCATCATCACATCATCATATACGATGTCTCTTCACCACAATGTCAAGCTCGCCACCAGCTCCAGCTATGGGCCGGCAGCATCACAGAAGCTCGTACTGACGTAAGTGCATCCTCTGAATGATATCTCGGCAATCATTGAAAACTCGTTTGATGTTCTCGGTGTCGACCGCGCAGGTGAAGTGGGGGTAGCAGTAGTGTCGGCCATCGCCGCTGGCCGTGCTGATCCGCTGAAAAAGACAAATTTCCCATGAGTTGAGACAGCTAGCATGTGAGAACGGACCTGGTTCATGGACATATTGAATACAGGCGTAACATGTTAATTCTAAAACATTTATTCCAGTGTCAACGTGGTTCATGATCCAATCCTGGTCATGACAATGTTAGTGCTACGACTTTCGAACATCTGTGCTAAACTATGTGAGTCATGACAATGTTAGTGCTACGACTGTCGTAAGTGTGTGCTAAACTACAGGAGTCATGACAATGTTAGTGCTACGACTGTCGTAAGTGTGTGCTAAACTATGTGAGTCATGACAATGTTAGTGCTACGACTGTCGTAAGTGTGTGCTAAACTACAGGAGTCATGACAATGTTAGTGCTACGACTGTCGTAAGTGTGTGCTAAACTACAGGAGTCATGACAATGTTAGTGCTACGACTGTCGTAAGTGTGTGCTAAACTATGTGAGTCATGACAATGTTAGTGCTACGACTGTCGTAAGTGTGTGCTAAACTACAGGAGTCATGACAATGTTAGTGCTACGACTGTCGTAAGTGTGTGCTAAACTACAGGAGTCATGACAATGTTAGTGCTACGACTGTCGTAAGTGTGTGCTAAACTACAGGAGTCATGACAATGTTAGTGCTACGACTGTCGTAAGTGTGTGCTAAACTACAGGAGTCATGACAATGTTAGTGCTACGACTGTCGTAAGTGTGTGCTAAACTACAGGAGTCATGACAATGTTAGTGCTACGACTGTCGTAAGTGTGTGCTAAACTACAGGAGTCATGACAATGTTAGTGCTACAACTGTCGCAAGTCTGTGTTAAACTACGAGGTTCACTGTACTTGAAACAGAACATGAAATATTGTTCTCGCTTACCAAGAATTCATCCCTGATGAAATATTTGGCCCGAACTACCTCCGGGTCGTCTGTAGACTCAAACACAGCTGGAACACAACAAACCACATTAGTTGTTTATCGAGCAAATTACCCAGGTCAGCAATACATACATGGACCATCACAACACATATTTATACTTCTCCAAAAAGAGTAACACTCAGTTTTTTCAAATGACTGTAGTTAATCTGTCATGTAAAATGAATTCCCTACAAAGAAATCAATGAATCTATCTATCTATCTATCTATCTATCTATCTAGTGAGTATTGCAACACACAGACATCCAACTGTGGGTGTACTTCAACTTGTTTTGAGTAGTATATATTTATATGAAAACCCCCAACAATCTTCAGGAGATTACTTAGCATGGTGAAAGAGTATAAATCTAGTTTTCGCTTGTTTCTATGGCCCTGACATGTTTTACAACAATCAACATTATCAGCACCCCTTGACAATAATTGTAGCTCATTAGAAAACCCCTGTTGATTTTGGCATTCTCAGCCTGAAATGTTCTGTAGGCCCCTGAACCCTTGCCACCACCTACATCTGACTGCCCCGCCCCATGGGCCACATTCTTACCATCTGGTGGGGTCTGGTATCTGGAAAATTCAGTAAAGTAGTCCTCTATTTTTGATTTTCCAGCTCTCACTTTGTCTGCTAATAGGTCCTGCTTGTTTAAGAATAAAATTACAGATATTGTTCTGAGCCACCTGAAACAGAAAACAGAAAGATCATGTTAGAGTGATGAGAGTGATAACAGCGAGTGAGTGAGTGAGTTTGGTGCTGCTTTGAACAATATTACGGTTGTATCACGGCATGTCAACTAATAAGCCAGAAGGGACATGTCATAGATGCCACTTTGGTGAAACCCATGAGTATGGTGCTGACAAACCAAGGATCGTAATCAGGACGATTCTGGAATTTGAACCTAAAGTCATAGGATCAAGGCATGCCTAAGGGATGCAACTGACAATGTGCTGACAAACCAAGGATCGTAATCAGGACGATTCTGGAATTTGAACCTATAGTCATAGGATCCAGGCATGCCTAAGGGATGCAACTCTGCATGAACTCTGAGACAACATGACCATCCATGCCCAATGAGTGATAAGAAAGTGCAAATATACACACTGAGGAACACTGAATAATACGTACATACGCCCAAAACACAAGTGTCAAAAATGTGTGGTGTCACCCTGGGCAAGTTCAAATGTGCCTCTGTACACCCAGCAGAGAATGTGTACCCGATATGTGAGGTGGATGTAAAAACCCACTGGCACCCATAGGCAGCTTGGGTTGTGTACTCCCCAGGGAGTTGAGGATTATAACTTGAAAACATATGGATCCACTGGTCAGGGAACAAATAAACCACATTTGAGCAGATACACATGTACCAGTATCTGGGTAAGTGTTGTATATACATGTATAACATAATGTGAGGCCATGGAGCAATGTAAATTAATGAGAGCTCCTCTTGGAGGTCCCACATCCTAGAACTATCCATATTCTATCAGTCACTTGTGACCAGAAGACCACTAGTTTGGTCGCATCATATGACAGACAAGGGGGCATAGTGACCAGCTAATATTACTTCTGAGATCCAGAAATCCCAGCTAAAGGTGAGCGAGTCGGGTTTTTCACTGCTTTTTGCAATATTCCAGGAATATCAGAGGGGACACTAGAAATGGGGTTCACACATTGAACCCATGTGGGGAATCAAACCCAGGCCTTCGGCTCGGTGAGTGAATACTTAAACCGCTAGGCTACCCTGGGTTCCAGTTGAAGGAGATAATATGACTTCACTGTACAAAGAACAGGATTCACTATCTAAACACAGATTTTTGGATAAATGAGGTGCAGTAAACAAATAATACTTTCATTCTTTCTTTACCCCAGCGCTCAGCAATATTGCAACTATATAATGGAGGCCTGTGTTAAGTCTTGACTACAAAAACCAGTGATTGAGGAAACACAATCAACCAAGTCACGGAGTCTGACAATTTGATTCATTCAGTCGTTTCGTATGACAAGAATAGGTAGCTGGGGACCTATTCTAACAGGGAATCCACCTGGAGAGACAAACATAGCTAGCTGGGGATCTATTCTAACCCAGAATCCCAACGGGGTGACGTGTATTGCAGCGACACGTATATATCAGTCAGGTCATGTTGGCCACCTTCAAAAAGAACATCACGTTTTACATCTTTACCTGTTATTCCAGATACTCCTAAAAAGTTCTAAGGATTCTCTGAGTCTATTTTGGCTGGGATCCTCTCGCAGGACCAGATTGTAGCCACTGCAGGCTGTGACGAAGATGATGGCCGTCACATCATTAAAGCACTGGATCCACTTCCTACGCTCGTCTCTCTGACCCCCTACATCAAACATGCTGCAATCAAAACCATCAGCATCAGAAACAGCACCTGACAGTTCAATATTCAAAGATATACGCACATATAAACACAGTATCATATAATCCAAATTATATTTTCATATTTTTTTAATACTTCATACAAAAATTGAAAAAGTTGCTGTTATTTTGATGACTATACAAATAGTTTTACTTTTCCATTCTTACAATATTTGAAACTACTTCTGCACCAGTTGCTCCAGGTACAACTGATTCAAATTGACTTATTTTGATTATACTTCATACATTCATAACAAAAAGGTTCAGATTTCAATCTGATAACATAATTCTTAAATGTGATAACTTCACTGTTACAATGGTTACAGATAAAATAACTCAATAAACCAGTTCTATCAAAAACGTAAAGGAAGGCCATACTTACTGAAAATTTACTTTATCAACTGTAAACTTAGTTTCAAATATTCCTGATGTTAGTACCCGACACCGCAATATATCCTGAAATGAATGAACATCAAAATTAGCACAGCACAATCAGACATGACAGACCAAGGGGAATACATGGATATGATCTATCTGAGAACATGACAGTGATAAACAGAGCATAAACTCATATTCATAGTTACATCAGAAAAGCTAACAAGGAAAATATGAAAATATTTCTTCAACAAGAATAATCAATTCCATGGTCTGAAGTTTACCAGTAAATGATGATACATTAAAGCATATCGTTATGAATATATAATAGAGATTGGACGGGTATGGGTTCTGGGGTTGGGGGGTACTGAGTAGGACCTGGGTACCCACAGGACTACCCGTGGTTAGTCACGGGATTTTTTGTGCATTTCCTATCTCCCGAGGCCTACAGCGGGTACCCAGGTAGAGTCGGGTAATAGGGTTTGGGTAACTGGGTAGTAAATTTTGACTTGTCCCAGCCCATATATATAACTTCCCCGTGCATAAAGGCTTCAATCAAAGGAATATTTTGATACAGGTTGAATGGAAGGTTTATCCACGACACCTAGGATCCCGTAATACCAGTGTGATGTTTCATTGTTTATAAGTTCTTACCATCAGCAATATAAGGTGAGGTGAAATGGTGTTTAACGTAGCACTCGAGATTTTTGTACTTATATAGCGTTATATATCCGTGTGTGTGTGGTTGCTTGTACTAGTCCAGACTAATGCCAATTTTATAGCGCTAGCTCACTGAGATACCGTGCCTCGGTTTAACATGAATATCCTATTCAGACACAGTATACTGACTCCGAGCAGACCAGTCCTTCCGTTAGCCCTTCAATGCCGAGCAGCAGGCAGGGTTACAACAAGTATTATCTTTTTATGTCTCTTGGTATGACGCAGCCGGGGTTTAAACCCATCGCCTTCCGCTCTCCATGCAGGCGCTCTACCACTAGACCACAGAGGCAACTATATAGATAAGGGATTACACTGTCTTTTGATATCCTTGTAGCATAGAATCTGTCTCCTTTAGTCATGAGTCGTGTCAACAGTGGGTGAACGTCTACATGTCCAAACAAGAGCAACAGTCCACTGTTGGACACATGGCCCTCATTCAGCCAGGTAACCATACAATCCCTACTTTAGTTGTGACAAGTACTGATGATACATACAGCCCTGTGTGTGAGCTACAGTCCTGTGTGTGAGCTACAGTCCTGTGTGTGAGCTACAGTCCTGTGTGTGAGCATGTTACAGCCCTGTGTGTGAGCTACAGTCCTGTGTGTGAGCATGTTACAGCCCTGTGTGTGAGCTACAGTCCTGTGTGTGAGCTACAGTCCTGTGTGTGAACTACAGTCCTGTGTGTGAGCTACAGTCCTGTGTGTGAGCATGTTACAGCCCTGTGTGTGAGCTACAGTCCTGTGTGTGAGCTACAGTCCTGTGTGTGAGCATGTTACAGTCCTGTGTGAGCATGTGACAGCCCTGTGTGTGAGCATGTTACAGCCCTGTGTGTAAGCTACAGCCCTGTGTGTGAGCATGTTACAGCCCTGTGTGTGAGCTACAGCCCTGTGTGTTAGCATGTTACAGCCCTGTGTGTGAGCTACAGCCGTGTGTGAGCATGTTACAGCCCTGTGTGTGAGCATGTTACAGCCCTGTGTGTAAGCTACAGCCCTGTGTGAGCTACAGCCCTGTGTGTGAGCATGTTACAGCCCTGTGTGTGAGCATGTTACAGCCCTGTGTGTGAGCTACAGCCCTGTGTGTGAGCATGTTACAGCCCTGTGTGTGAGCATGTTACAGCCCTGTGTGTGAGCATGTTACAGCCCTGTGTGTGAGCATGTTACAGCCCTATGTGTGAACATGTTACAGCCCTGTGTGTGAGCATGTTACAGCCCTGTGTGTGAGCATGTCACAGCCCTGTGTGTGAGCTACAGCCCTGTGTGTGAGCATGTTACATCCCTGTGTGTGAGCTACAGCCCTCTGTGTGAGCATGTTACAGCCGTGTGTGAGCATGTTACAGCCCTGTGTGTGAGCATGTGACAGCCCTATGTGTGAGCATGTTACAGCCCTGTGTGTGAGCATGTTACAGCCCTATGTGTGAACATGTTACAGCCCTGTGTGTGAGCATGTTACATCCCTGTGTGTGAGCTACAGCCCTATGTGTGAGCATGTTACAGCCCTGTGTGTGAGCATGTTACAGCCCTGTGTGTGAGCATGTTACAGCCCTGTGTGTGAGCTACAGCCCTGGGGTTGGGACGTGTCCTCTCCTGGTTTGTTTGTTTGTTGTTTTTCGCCGCACTCAGCAATATTCCAGTGGTTGACGGTCTGTAAATAATTGAGTCTGGACCAGATAATCCAGTGATTGATATCATGAGCATAGCTCAACGCAATTAGGATCGATGACATGCTTCAACCAAGTCAGCGAGCCTGACCACCCGATCCCGCTTCCTACGACAAGCATCGTCGCCTTTTATGGCAAGCATGGGTTGCTGAAGACCTATTATACCCCGGATCTTCACGGGTCCCTCTCAAGGTGTGTGAGCATGTTACAACCCTGGGGTTAGGAACCTGTCTTCTCCCTGTGTGTAAGCATGTTACAACCCTGGGGTTGGGGACATGTCCTCTCCCTGTGTGTGAGCATGTTACAACCCTTGAGTTGGGGACCTGACCTCTCCCTGTGCGTGAGCATGTTACAACCCTAGGGGTAGGGGACATGTCCTCACCCTGTGTGTGAGCATGTTACAACCCTGGGGTTAGGGGACATGTCCTCACCCTGTGTGTGAGCATGTTACAGCCCTGGGGTTAGGAACCTGTCCTCTCCCTGTGTGTGAGCATGTTACAACCCTGGGGTTTGGGACATGTCCCTCTCCCTGTGTGTGAGCATGTTACAGCCCTGGGGTTGGGGACATGTCCTCTCCCTGTGTGTGAGCATGTTACAGCCCTGGGGTAGGGACGTGTCCTTTCCTTGTGTGTGAGCATGTTACAGCCCTGGGGTAGGGACGTGTCCTCTCCCTGTGTGTGAGCATGTTACAACCCTGGGGTAGGGACGTGTCCTCTCCCTGTGTGTGAGCATGTTACAACCCTGGGTTAGGGACGTGTCCTCTCCCTGTGTGTGAGCATGTTACAACCCTGGGGTTGGGGACATGTCCTCTCCCTGTGTGTGAGCATGTTACAGCCCTGGGGTTGGGGACATGTCCTCTCCCTGTGTGTGAGCATGTTAAAACCCTGGGGTTGGGGACATGTCCTCTCCCTGTGTGTGAGCATGTTACAGCCCTGGGGTAGGGACGTGTCCTCTCCCTGTGTGTGAGCATGTTAGAGCCCTGGGGTGGGGGACGTGTCCTCTCCCATGTGTGAGGATGTTACAGCCCTGGGGTTGGGGACATGTCCTCTCCCTGTGTGTTAGGATGTTACAGCCCTGGATAAGATATGTCCTCTCCGTGAATATGAGCCAGTTATTAAAGCAGGTGGCAAGCCATCATCAACACTTCTACTATGCTGCAGTTAGTACCTGCTCCAATATTCGGCGTGTCTTTATTAGCATGCCCAATATTGCCTGCCCAATTATCACCCGCCTTGTCCCAGCGAATACATCTGATATGACAGTTTGGGAACATCATTATAACCAGCTCTGATTCAGATGCAAACAAAGTCATCACATATTAGCAATATTGCAACAATATTACCAAGGCAGACAAGTTTCGTAATCCCCAAATAGGTAATCTCATTTACCCACTGCGCTTCTCCCCGATGCCCCACTGTGACAAAACCTAAACCAAGTTACCCATTCTACAGCAACAAGTGTTTAAATGCATCAGTGGGGGGATGTATTTCATTCTAGTCATCAATACTACAGCTACAAGTGTTTATATGCATCAGTGGGGGATGTATTTCATGCTAGTCATCAATACTGCAGCTACAAGTATTTATATGCATCAGTGGGGGGGGGGGGGGGGGGGGGGGGGATGTATTACATGATAGTCATCAATACTCCAGCTACAAGTATTTAAATGCATCAGTGGGGGGATGCATTTCATGATAGTCATCAATACTGCAGCTACAAGTATTTATATGCATCAGTGGGGGGATGTATTACATGATAGTCATCAATACTGCAGCTACAAGTATTTATATGCATCAGTGGGGGGGGGGGGGGGATGTATTACATGATAGTCATCAATACTCCAGCTACAAGTATTTAAATGCATCAGTGGGGGGATGCATTTCATGATAGTCATCAATACTGCAGCTACAAGTATTTATATGCATCAGTGGGGGGATGTATTACATGATAGTCATCAATACTGCAGCTACAAGTATTTATATGCATCAGTGGGGGGATGCATTTCATGATAGTCATCAATACTGCAGCTACAAGTATTTATATGCATCAGTGGGGGGATGCATTTCATGATAGTCATCAATACTGCAGCTACAAGTATTTATATGCATCAGTGGGGGGGTGCATTTCATGATAGTCATCAATACTGCAGCTACAAGTATTTATATGCATCAGTGGGGGGATGCATTTCATGATAGTCATCAATACTGCAGCTACAAGTATTTATATGCATCAGTGGGGGGATGCATTTCATGATAGTCATCAATACTGCAGCTACAAGTATTTATATGCATCAGTGGGGGGATGTATTACATGATAGTCATCAATACTGCAGCTACAAGTATTTATATGCATCAGTGGGAGGAGGGATGTTATTACATGCTAGTCATCAATACTGCAGCTACAAGTATTTATATGCATCAGTGGGAGGAGGGATGTTATTTCATGCTAGTCATCAATACTGCAGCTACAAGTATTTATATGCATCAGTGGGGGGATGCATTTCATGATAGTCATCAATACTGCAGCTACAAGTATTTATATGCATCAGTGGGGGGATGCATTTCATGATAGTCATCAATACTGCAGCTACAAGTATTTATATGCATCAGTGGGGGGATGCATTTCATGATAGTCATCAATACTGCAGCTACAAGTATTTATATGCATCAGTGGGGGGATGTATTACATGATAGTCATCAATACTGCAGCTACAAGTATTTATATGCATCAGTGGGAGGAGGGATGTTATTACATGCTAGTCATCAATACTGCAGCTACAAGTATTTATATGCATCAGTGGGAGGAGGGATGTTATTTCATGCTAGTCATCAATACTGCAGCTACAAGTATTTATATGCATCAGTTGGGGGATGCATTTCATGATAGTCATCAATACTGCAGCTACAAGTATTTATATGCATCAGAGGGGGAATGCATTTCATGATTGTCATCAATACTACAGCTACAAGTATTTATATGCATCAGTGGGAGGAGGGATGTTATTTCATGCTAGTCATCAATACTGCAGCTACAAGTATTTATATGCATCAGTGGAGGGATGTATTTCATGATAGTCACCAATACTGCAGCTACAAGTGTTTATATACATCAGTGGGGGGATGCATTTCATGATAGTCATCAATACTGCAGCTACAAGTATTTATATGCATCAGTGGGGGATGTATTTCATGATAGTCATCAATATTGCAGCTACAAGTATTTATATGCATCAGTGGGGGGATGCATTTCATGATAGTCATCAATACTGCAGCTACAAGTATTTATATGCATCAGTGGGGGATGTATTTCATGATAGTCATCAATATTGCAGCTACAAGTATTTACATGCATCAGTGGGGGGATGCATTTCATGATAGTCATCAATACTGCAGCTACAAGTATTTATATGCATCAGTGGGGGGATGCATTTCATGATAGTCATCAATACTGCAGCTACAAGTATTTATATGCATCAGTGGGGGATGTATTTCATGATAGTCATCAATACTGCAGCTACAGGTATTTATATGCATCAGTGGGGGATGTATTTCATGATAGTCATCAATACTGCAGCTACAAGTATTTATATGCATCAGTGGGGGGATGTATTACATGATAGTCATCAATACTGTCATCAATACTCCCATCTCCAGCAATGAATCATCAATGTGTTCCCCTCCTGTCTCTAGCAATGCATCAATGTGTTCCCCTCCTGTCTCTAGCAATGCATCAATGTGTTCCCCTCCTGTCTCTAGCAATGCATCAATGTGTTCCCCTCCTGTCTCTAGCAATGCATCAATGTGTTCCCTTCCCATCTCCAGCAATGCATCAATGTGTTCCCCTCCCATCTCCAGCAATGCATCATCAATGTGTTCCCCTCCTGTCTCTAGCAATGCATCAATGTGTTCCCCTCCTGTCTCTAGTAATGCATCAATGTGTTCCCCTCCTGTCTCTAGCAATGCATCAATGTGTTCCCCTCCAATCTCCAGCAATGCATCATCAATGTGTTCCCCTCCCATCTCCAGCAATGCATCAATGTGTTCCCCTCCTGTCTCTAGCAATGCATCATCAATGTGTTCCCCTCCCATCTCTAGCTATGCATCATCAATGTGCAATGCATTATCACAAGTACCCTTCCAGTCCCTATCAATTCAATTCGCCTTGCCAGATTCCTACAGTGACTTATTTGTAATGTAGGCTTTGGAGAAAGTCAATACCAACAAATCAATCAATGTTCTCGTGTGTTGTCCTACCTCAAACAGAGCACACATTATATGGACCTCATATACCTTTTGCTAGATATATCTAAAAATCAACTTGAAATCTGTTTGTGTGCGCTCACTACAACTCAACCACAGTGGAGGAATGGAGTTGTTTGTGTGCGCTCACTACAACTCAACCACACTGGAGGAATGGAGTTGTTTGTGTGCGCTCACTACAACTCAACCACAGTGGAGGAATGGAGTTGTTTGTGTGCACTCACTACAACTCAACCACACTGGAGTGAGTGAGTGAGTGGGTGGGTGGGTGGGTGGGTGGGTGGGTGAGTGAGTATGGTTTTACGCCGCTTTTAGCAATATTCCAGCAATATCACGGCAGGGAACACCAGCAATGGGCTTCACACATTGTACCTATGTTGGGAATCGAACCCGGGTGTTCGGCGTGACGAGCGAACAATTTAACCACCGCCCCCAACCACAGTGGAGGAATGGAGTCGATGATGTTTTGACTCACACATTGTACCCGGGTCAGGCCCAAGTCTCGATCCAACCCTGGTCCCAAGAATAACCTGCCCACACTAAGCTACTGTGCATGTCCTTCACTCCACCAGCGGCAAATGCCCTGCTAATCTGGCATAACAGATCATGGCATAATGCCACATGTACACATCTCATTGGGATCAAACAAGCAGTTTTAACAACATTGACATGACTGCCTAGTTATTCCAAATAGCTAACTCACATTTGATTTAGATCTATTATTTTCCAAGGAACTCTAACTCAGTGAATGACATGAGCGTATGTAGAACCCAGATTACCCAATGTCCCAATTACAGTCATGCATAATGGCCGGGAACAAAGGCCACACTTATAAGCTGAGAAACATCCAACAGCAATAGATCTGCCAAATCCTGCACTCAACAGTGTTTTTAAATGAGGAGTGGCCTATGGATCCTTGACATTACTATGGTACTGTATCTAGAGAGCCCTTCATTATTATTTACTAACATTACGGTATGACTGGTCTGTCTTACAGACCCTGATACAAATATATCAAATACAGCCCATGCAAGTCTATAAACTTTGGCAAGTCTAGATTTCTGCAGTATCTGAAAATGAAGAGGGTCTCTGGGCTCCTTTTTATTAAATTTTTTAAAGATAATTTAACAACTATTTTTTTCTGTACAATATGTTCATTTCAGAGACAAGATGTTAGTCGACAGTATGACAAACCCTTTCATTTTTAAGGCTGATCTAAAAAACTGTTCACAGAACATTATTATTAATCCACAGTCCCTATCAGGATGTCTAGAACTAAACCATATATCACTAATCTGCAGTTTCTCGAGACTACAGAAAGGATGAAAAGCAGTATGCAAAAACATTAAAAATATCAATACCATTGACAAAGAATATTTCCATAAGCGAACCCACCACAAGGTGTCATCCCCTCGATAATGTTTCCCACATGCTTGTTACTTGATCTCACCCTTCAGTATCAGAATGTTAACTATTTTGCATGTTTGCATCTATTTCCGGCTAATGACATAATCAGCCCCACTAGGTAAGCCGGTATGCAGCAACAAGAGTGGGCAGACCCAATCAATATCTCTGGTATTCTTCCATGTCAAACATGTGATGTAGGTTTCAATTCTGAAGGCAACCTTGCACACTAGTTAACCATATCCCCCTGCAGGAATGCCGATTTTCCATGATTCCTAATTCAACAGGTCCTTCCATTTTGTAGACAAGGGGTAACAAGTTGGAGCCACTTACCTGCTCGGTTGGCGTGTAATCCGGCAATTTCACTATGTGCACTCGGTCTAAAAAACTGTAATGAGAAAACAAAATCAGCAAGATCGTTCACTTCTTAACAAGACGACAATGAGAATAGACATGGTGATAAACACAGCAAGTTTATGTGTAATCCATGTAGAACCAGGGCTAAGCACAACATCACCTATTCCTTTGTTGGTATGAGCCATTGCAGCCTTGGTTATGGGATTACTTACTTTTTTCCACTTTATGTTGAATCAATCAGGTCATTAAAAGCTTTAAGCAGTAAACCATAGAAGATGGGGATCCTGTGAGCTAGTTTTAGGGGAGGTAGTATTGATTGGCAACTCAAATTCAAAGGAAAAACTCTTCAAAATGTCACAAGATACCATACATGTATTGCAACCACAGAATTACACAATATATTCAATGCTTTATGAGCTTGCCTTCTGATCAAACAGAGTAAACATTAAAAAGTAAATGAAATCAATTCGCCCCAGAAACTATCCAAGGTCAACTCTTTCTGCTTAACACATTGTACTTCAGCCTAAGTAAAAGTATGTTTATCAAAGTACATTTCCAGATGTTCAAGATAAAATATACACCAAAGACACAGCTTTAAATATTTCATACACAATGACACCAATATTATAAAAACCTTAAAAATCTTAAATTTGACAGACCATTCTACATATTTGGTCAAATGTTGTTGGGATGATATCACTATACAGTTCATTGTCATTTTCCCTAATCAACAAATACCCACATGAACATTTTTAACAAATACCCATATGACAATTTTAAAAAAATAACATGAACATTTTTAACCAATACCCACATGAAATATATTTTTTTACACATCTACTAATGCTGTGAATTATATTGCACATATTACAGTTGGAATCCTGACAAACACAAATGTGACAAGTCTGTTTCGAAAAAATTACAAACTATATATTCCACAAAATGATTAAAAACTGATTCCTCTGACAATCACTAAAACCTGCATAGCAACATCAACAAAGACTTGCTTCCTCAATTACCAACAGAAATGAGACCTTTGTATATGCTGTTTTCCTCATACAAGTTCCAATCACATCAGCAGGAAGCAGAATCAAGTCAGAACATGTTTCATGTTGATAAAAACATTATCATCATTGATATTATATTTAACATACATAGCCTATACATATTCCACAATTACATACAATGTATATGTTTGAATAGGCATAAATACATTCATTGAATACAGCATAGGCCAAGACATATTTCTTGCTTGCCCATATTTCTCACATTCTTTCTCAAACACAACATCCCAGTCTGATGTTTCATCCATAGGTCAAACAAGCCAGAATTTAGTACATGCTGAATTATTTCAACTAACAGAGCAAATATTCCACATGAGCTTCGCATTACGTCAAGTTAAAGCCACCTGTACTACTTTCCTACAAACAGAATATCTCTGGTGTGACAAGCCCAAACTGGGTACAGAGGCCTGAAGACAGGTTAACATATAATCCCTCTAGGTAACAATTTAATAAATAACGACACTTGGTCTGGCTGTTATGAATGTAGGTTGTCCCTGTGCAGAGACATGCTAAGCCACCAAGAATAATATACGCTACTAACAGTAGGCAGAGTGATGCGAGGAACTGTCGTGACGTAACAACAGCGATGAGAGTGTTGTCTGTGCAGAGATAAAATTCACCAAAAATAGACTTCCTCGAACGCTGAGTGCTGTAAATGCTATAATAATTGTTGATCTGAATCTGGTGTAGTCTAACTTCAGTAAATTGCTAAATTTTCCTTCTGTCTGGGAAAGAGACAAACGTTCTTGAAATTACAAGAACAATTAGTTTGGTAAAGAGAAATTCATATTTGCAATATACAGTATATGAATAGAAAACACAGGATATCTAAATTCATCTGACACAACTCACATATATTATTTTCCATTTTATACCCATGGATTCTTCTCAAGATCACTACACAAATATTCAATCCATTAAGCCAATATGATCCATTTGGCCAATAAGATTTAATCAATATTAATCCAAATCATGATGTGTAACATAACCAGTGTGAACAATGTTCAGAGGTTTCATACAACTGGTGAAAAAAGAATGTACTACCATGACAAATTTCCAACTGACTAAAAACTATGACAGTCTGATGCAACAAGAAAAGTTGAGTGAGTGAGTATGGTTATAACTATATTCCTGCAATATCACTGCTGGGGACACCAGAAATGGGCTTCACACATTGTACCCATGTCAGGAATCGAACTCGGGTCTTCGGTGTGACAAGCTAACACTTTTACCACGAGGCTACCACATCGCCCCGCAACAAGAAGCACAAAGCAAACTGCTTGCTTCATTCTTCAGCTTCTGTGAATCACACAATCTTCACAAGAATGAATGTATTTATTGTTTTCATAATAACTAAATCCTGATGTCAGTTTTCTGATACATGAAGATAGCTCTCTCCATCTAAGTCAGCTGTTTTATGAAGAAAAAGGTTTTTACATTTCATAGTATTTGAAATACAAATACTTCATTTCCCCAAAAATGATATCTAACAGAAAAAATAAATTGAATGCCAATACTTCAAGTTGTAAGCTCATAACTATGTTTTACTGCAATGTACCTGCAGATAAACAAGAAAACCACTGTTACCTGAAGAAAGTTTGTTTGAAGGGGACAATCCTGGCTGGCACGGCAACCCCCGACTAAGATGGCACATGCACATACACACGCACATGCACATGCACACACACTGTCATCATGGCCACCAAGGTCATGTAGATGAGAAACTAAAATGACTTCACAATGTTTGACTTTTATATTAGTCTGACCTTGGTTTGATACTACCATATGTTCGGTTTACATACGGCATGTGACATAATTATTTTTCATTCAGTGCATTCTTGATAGAGATGCAAGCTATGAAGAAATTTGTATTTAAATCAGTATTGAGCATGATTTCACCATTTTTATAAATGAAATTAGTTTCATTACCCTCATCATCAACAGGCATTTGAAAAAATAATAAATTCCAAAAAAATTACCAGTTGACTTATTTCTTCTTCAGTTTGTCCTGTATTATCTTTACCCTTTCTTGCCTCCAGACTCTGGCCTTAATGTCACAAAAAATCCATAAACAAGACATGAAGAAAGGTGTCTCCTAGATTATAAATTATTTTATATAGAAACAGACACTAGCAAAAGAGTGAGAGACAAAGATAAGGAACAGAGTGAGAGATAGTGAGAGATAAGGTAGAAGAGAGGTTGAACCAGTCTGGATGTCCCAGTTCTATCGAACACATTACCACCAAAACAATGGAGAGGCGGGACTTCATAATGACATTGTGGATTTATTTCAGGATGGAGGTTACGACCTTTAACTCCAGGACAGCTATTTATAGTAACAGTGAGTCATGCGGCATCTATTTATATAGGCTAATGGTTTACGGGTTAATGAGGTAAACCTGGCTATGCAACTGTTTGTGAAGCAGCCACTCCACACAATCTCGGGGCATGAAGAGCTCATGATGTCACTGTGGATAGGACAGTAGCTGAACCATTATGCAGAGAATTGGGATGATTCTTAAAACCCATTCGACACACAGAAACAGCACAAAAACAAACAACACTGACTTTAATTGGAATAAGATCATTCCTTGATAGACAGCATTTATTGTAAAGCTAACCAACTACTGCATGATCTGCATAAAAATTACCAGCATAATCTCAGCTGAAACTAGATTTGGCAACAGAAGTAAATATAGAATATTACAACTGGATAGCACCTTGATTAGCGCCAAGAGTATTTTCCCCGACATATTTTCATGTCTTGGCCAAATCCTCCCCCACACTGTCTACTGAGTAACTGTTTTTCCTCCCCAATGCATGGTTGGCTGGAAATACCCCTCAAATTTCAGATTTTCCGCATGTCAGGAAAGAAATGGAGACAACACAGACAACCTCAACTCTCTCCCCGTCTTGAATGTGCTTGCACTCTCACTACAGACGACCTGCTAGGAATATTGTGAGCTTGGCGAGTCTGCAGATGCAATTCACGCACGGTACTATTTCCAAATTGCAACAACATTCATTGTAGCTAATCTGGCAGTAGGGTTGGAGCAGAGATATGTTGATTATGTGCTCACAGAGCGGATTAACATACAATTTGCCTGCTGTACCTCATGTACTGCCTCACCCCTGCTGCAACTCTCCTGGGGTGAGACGCTGCCATTTCCGTTCCAGCTAATGTTGGCCTCTTTCTTCTTGACTGGCATCATGTGCATTTCTAACACTTACAGGTCCTCCTTACCCACCTCGAAGCACATGCAGCAGCAGCATCTGCTTTCACCCTGCATTACTGATCAGTCTACAAAAATGATGCAACACCTACTATCATGCTGCATCGGCAACTATCATGCTGCATCTGCTACTATCATGCTGCATCGGCAACTATCATGCTGCATCTGCTACTATCATGCTGCATTGTCTACCATAATGCTGCATCGGCTGCTATCAGGCTGTTTCATCTACTATCAGGCTGCATTGTCTACTATCAGGCTGCATTGTCTACTATCAGGCTGTATCATCTTCTATCAGGCTGCATTGTCTACTATCAGGCTGCTTTGTCTTCTATCACAAACCACCATTGCTGCAGCACTGTACAACTTTCAAGTTTCATCACAAGCATCCTTCATTACTGTCACCCTGCATCACCTACTATCAACCTTCAACACCCTGCATCACCTACTATCAACCCATATCACCCTGCATCACCTACTATCAGCCCATATCACCCTGCATCACCTACTATCAACCTACAACACCCTGCATCACCTACTATCAACCCAGAACACCCTGCATCACTGACTATCAACCCACAACACCCTGCATCACCTACTATCAACCCAGAACACCCTGCATCACTGACTATCAACCCAGAACACCCTGCATCACTGACTATCAACCCACAACACCCTGCATCACCTACTATCAACCCAGAACACCCTGCATCACCTACTATCAACCCACAACA